ACAGTACAATGGTCTCCATACCCACACACTAGCATTATATTCTAGACCCTAGGGTGTAAAAAGACCCAGACAATACTGACAGCTTAGAGAGTGTCCAGGCAGCTTAAAGAGAGTGTCCAGGCAGGGCACTGGAGCTAGCCCCGTCATGTGTGAGGCCCCATGAGAGCTGTCTCCAGGTACACAAAGGTCTGTTTTGCAAACAGCCTCTCAGCCTTGTCCCAGGTGACCCTGGGGGCTGGTACTGGATCTGATGGCTGGTAGACACATGGTTAGAATGATCGTGGCTCAGGGTAAGAATGAGCTTAAAATGCAGAAAGTAAGACCAGGTCACCCCCAGCTTGTACGCCTCTAATGCCTTCCCATCACACCTATGAAACAAATCCAGTGCCATCTTAAGGAGGGCACTCTCGTCCTTGCTGAGGAAAGCCTGGCAGGGCTCTGGGCCCAGGAGTGAGGGTATGGAGGTCCTCTGGGCATTGTTCCAAGGCCATCTGGCATGAATTCTTCTCTTTCCTGCCACCCGAGCTGCTGCCACTACCCCCTACCCTCAAGGATCTTTCCTGATAGAAAAAAACAAAAAGCAGCCTACAAGTTTTGCCCAACCCTGCTTTCAAAGAGCTGTGAACTAGGATGTCCATGAGCAAGGACCAGGCCTAGAAGCTGCTAGAGCAGGAAACAGGGCTTTTAGCATCTCAGACAATTCTTGTGAGGAACTGTTAAGAGCTATAAAAGAAAACTCCTTGTAAAGAACATGGCATGATTCAAATGTATGGTTATTTTTATTTTGTCATCCTTTAGACCAGTACTGTCCAATGGAAATATAATGCAATCCACATATATAATTTAAAATTTTCTAGTAGGCACATAAAAAATTAAAAAAAAAAACCATGCAAAACAAATCCAGACTTCTCATCCTGCCTTACACAGCACCATGTCAGCTGGGACCTGCCTGCCTCTGCAAGCTCCCCTCTTCCACTGTCCTCCATCCATATAGGCTTCTTTTAGTTCCATGAACTCACCGTGCTCATTCCCACCTTAGGGCCATTATCCAGCCACCTGTTAAACTGTCTCATATTTCCTGTTGCTTATTATCTACCCCTCTTACTAAAATTCAGTCTCTGTAAGAGCAGGATGCTTATCTCTCTGGTATACCCAGGGCCCAGAACAGTGCCTGGCATGGTTGAATGAATGAATTGTTCTGAAGTGAGTGGACTATCGAGAAGTGGCTGCAGAGTCACAGCAGGTTCTCACTAGATGGAATGGGCTCCTTGTGATCTGGTGTGTGGGCCTGTGTTTTATGTTATTGGCAGAGAATGATTTTGGAGGCCCCAGTTCCTCAGGCCCTCTGAACTGGGGTCATGCCTGCTGTTTCTGGGGTCAGTCTCTATGTAACACACCCACCTAACCCATTACCACCACAGGCTCAGTGCACAATATTGCACCAGAACTCATGTCAGGAAACAAGGTGGTAGAGTGACCACTGCCTCATTCCTCCCACCAAGTGTCACTCCCATCCCCACCACGGCTCTTTGGGAGGGAGGCAGTCCATGGTGGTAGGGGCAGAGGGGTTCCCTTGTTTCAGAATTACAAGAAAGATCAACGCACGGCAAGTGGGAGAAGGGCACACTTAGAACCCAAGAAGAGCTCTCTCTGTCCCCAGTTCACAAGAATGGTGATAGAGTAGGGAACCTGTGGCCTTCTGATTTCGAGATTGTTCTTTATTAAGCACCAAAGGAGGCAAAGAAAGGCTTATCTTTCTTTGCTGCACTCCTTTTTATAAAAGAACTTGTTCTGTAAAATTTGGATTCAAATGGCCACACTTAAGGGCCTAGAAGGCCACAGGTTCCCCACCTATCACCAGATGTCAACCCAACCTTAGAGCAAAGCCATCTGTGCATATGTGTTTAGTTTGTAACCAGTCATTGAGCTATACACTTACAATACGTGCACTTCCATGTATGTCTATTTCCAAAAAAATGTTAGAAAGACACCTGAGGAGCCCTTTAAAGCCCACACACCTGGATGCACACGCATAGGTTCTGCTTCAGAAGGCCTAGGATATGTCCCAGGCACCTACCTGAGTTTTAAAGCTTCCCATGTGATTCTAATTAGCGTCCAGTGTTAAAGACTGTGATAAGGAGCAACATGAAGGTGGGAGTGGGTATAGGTAAGGAGAGGAAGCTGAGGCAGGGCTTCAGTCACACTTAGAATAATGAAGTTCCAGAAAGCCCAACAGGTTGATAGGTTAATATGCATAAAACCTCGAGATGCCAAAAAAAAAAAAAAAAAAAAGCCAGCATTATAAAATGTGTGAAGCAGCTAACTAGGGGGGGAAAGCACTGTAGCAAAAGGTTAATAGCCTTAATATTTATAAGGAACTCTTACAAATCAGTAAGAAGATGAGCACTCAATAGGAAAACAGACTGCAGACATGAACAGGCAATTCAAAACGAAGAAATACAATGGGCCAATACACTTATGAAAAATGTTCAGCCTCATCAGTAATCAAATAAATGCAAATTAAAACAACAAAGAGACGTTATCTTTTGCCTAGCTAATTGGCAAAGATTAAAGACATGATAATACCTTATGTTGGTGAGGGTGTGGAAAAAACAGGCACTGTCATTCACTGGGGAGAGTGCAAATTGGTGCAACCTTTCCAGAGGGCAATTTGGCACGTGCACAGCTGAGGAAGATTGCATACCCTTTGACGCAGCAATTCCACTTTTAGGAAGATTGCCTTAGGAAATAATTGTGGATAATAATAACAATAATAGCTAACCTTTATTAAATGCTCTCTACGTGCCAGGCTCTACATGCATTATCTCATACAATCCTCACAGCCATAATCCCATAAGGTAGAAGCTATTATTTATCACCTGTATTTTACAGCTGAGGAAACTGAGGCACTAAAGAATTAAGTCAACAACCTGGGGACACAAAGCTAACAAGTAGCAAAGCCTGGATTTGAACACAGGCAGTGTGAGTCTAGAGCCATACTTCCCATACAGCAGTGGACACTGGATGTGTGCAGAGATGAAGCTGCAAGGATGTTCCTGTGGGCTTGTTTGTAATGGGACGTGGCAGCAGGAATCAGTTCCATAAATTATGATATGCCCATGCAGGAATATTATGCAGCCATGAAATATAATGCTGTAGAAAAAAATGTGTATGTGAATACTGGGTTGTTTTTTTTTTTTTATATGCATAAAAGATCTCTGAAAAGATGTCAAAGGGACTGATAAAATTGGTTGCTTCCTGGAAAGGCAGCTGTGTGGCTGTGGTCAGAAGTTAGAGAGAGACTTGTTTTATAAGCCGTTTACCCTTTTTCACTTCTTGAATTTTGAATCATGTTAATATATTATTTCTTAAAATATATATCTATAAATACATGCACCTATAAGTTATGTTATAGAACTTGTCCCACCTACCTTTATTTCCTTGAGATGCTACTAAGTGTTCCAAGAAAAAAGTTTCAAGGCCCTTAGAGAATGACGCTAAAGTGAATAAAGATGCTTCTTTAACTGTGTTTACCCACATGTTCTCCAAAGTGATTTGTTCATGGAAACTTCTTCTCGAATAATATCTTTTCATCTCTCTATATACTCATGTCTTATAGAAATCAGTTTGGGAAATGCTGTTATTAATATTTAATACCCAGGTAAAAGTGTTACATTGTTTCATTAAGTGAAAGAAACATATTATTGGCACATGATCTCGTTTTGTTTAAAAATGAGGGGTGTTAGTTATGAGTACTGGGATAATAAATGGTTTTGTTTTCTTCTTTTTACCCATATGTATTTTTTAATTTTCTAAAATGAACCAAATTATTTCACAAGAATCATTGTGTAAGCCTATGCAATACATTTTTAAAGGCTTTCTCTCGATGTTCCCTCTGTTCCCTGCACGTGACTTTCATCTATTCCCTGCTTAAAAGGAGCAGCTCAGGGTTGAGTTCAATGAGGGGACACCTATGTCTAGCCAGGCCCTCTTGCCTGCCTTTCTCCAGAGCCAGCCCTGGTCCAGTGTCTGAGCTCTGAGTTGCTAAGGAAAGGACCAGTAGTTTAAACAGGGCCAGTCAGTCCCAAGACAATTCCCTGGCTCCAGCAGACCCTCTCTTCTGCTGCTGGAAGGATTTTAATCATCTCTCTTTGAGAGATGAGGCTGCAGAAGTAGACACCAGCCTGCCACGTTACAAACCCAGATACCTGGGCTTTGGTCCCAGCTCCGTGACTGCCTGGCTGTGCGGCTTTGGACAAGTTTCCTGACCTCTCTGAGTCTCATCTTCACCATCGATGTCAGTGTGACCCTTGGCTTACAGAGATCAGGGCAAAATGAGAGCATGGGTAAAGGTATTGTGTATCCTGTAAAAGGCTATACCGATGGAAATTATTATGCATCCCAGTAGGAAGCATTGGCTTGCCCTTACCTTCCTGAGAATAGCGTACTTTTTCCCTTTTTTTTTTTTTAGGGTGGTGAGAAGAAGAAGCATGGGAGATGAGGGCATGTGGAAATAGAATGGTGTTTTTTAAAAATTGGAAAAGCCTCCCAGCTCAGTATTCAAAGCTCTGCATCTGCGACTGGGCCTGTGCCTCCAGTGCAGCCCATGCTTTGTACCCATGATTTTAGATCATGACACTGAAATCAAGGAGATCTGAGTTTGAATCCAAGTTCCATAACCTCCTGTTAGGGAGGTGACTTTAGTATTCTGAGCCTTGGTTTTCCCATCTATAGGTGAGTTTAATCACTGCAATGAACTCGTGGGGTTATTGTGTAGGTTTCATAAGCTAATGAAAAGCTTCTGGTACCATTCTAGTACCTACCACTGCAGACCCTCTGTTGAATCGAACCAGGAAAAACGACACCAGGAGGTGCAGCTCCCGGGCTCCCCCCTTCCCTCCACAGTTCCAGCCCTAGGACAGTGGCCCTCACCCCAACTACGCATGCTCAGCACTGCCCCCACTACCAACCCACTCACCTGCCTGCCTTGTACCCCACAGCCACCCGGCCCAAGCTGAAAAAGATGAAGAGCCAGACGGGACAGGTGGGTGAGAAGCAATCGCTGAAGTGCGAGGCAGCAGCCGGTAACCCCCAGCCCTCCTACCGATGGTTCAAGGACGGCAAGGAGCTCAACCGCAGCCGAGACATCCGCATCAAGTATGGCAACGGCAGGTGAGCAACGTCCCAGTCAGCTGCCCGCCCTTCTCCCCAGAGTGGGACAGGATCCAGGACTGTGCCCCCAGACCCTCCCAGAGAACCACTCCCAGCCCTTCATACTCCCCTTCCTTGCCACTCCAGCCTTCTCCCTGCAGCTCTGGGCCCCTCTGTCGATCTTGGCCCAGTGTCTCGCAGACTGTAAACAAGAGTAAAGCAATTAATATCTCGGGATGGTTGAAGGCAATTTGATTGTCAAGGTCAGCTTTACCAGTGAACGCCCCTGCTTGTCCGTAAAACTTCTTCTCAAAGGACTTCCCCCAGTGTCTGAAAGCCCCATCATTTGGCAATCTTTGTTGAAAGACCCTGACTCCAGCCAGAATGCCTCTGGGAGGTCACAGCTGGTTTCTCAGCTTAACAAGCTGTCACTTGTCAGAGAGCTAAGTAAGAGGAAAGGGAACATAGCTTCAATTGGTGTTGGGGAAGCCTGTAGCTTGGACAGTTTCCCCCTATGACATGAGAATTGTCTTTAATCTTGAATCAACGCTCCAGGGAAGTGAATCAGAAGTCCCTAAGTCCCCAGGCTGTGGAAGATGACCTCTCTTCCATCTTGGGTTGATGAGGCAGAGGCTTCAGGCACCAGAGAAGCCAGGAGTCCAAGGGCAGGTCACTCCTGTCTCTCAGGGACACATAAGGGAGAAATCTACAGCCTGTCAGCAAAACAGACATTCGGCCTGATCTCTGCTCTGTTGGCTCTGGGCACCAGGCGGACTCCCCATTCTGACTGAGGCACACCCCAGCCTTTTCTGCCCCTCCAGAGTGGATTGCAACCAGGCCTCCACAGCTGTGATTTTCCTCCTCATCCCCCCTACCCCCACCCCAGTACAAAATGTAAATGAAGGCTGGGTGTGGTGGCTCACACCTGTAATTCTAGCAGGTGTGAGCCAAGGCAGGTAGATTGCTTGAGCTTAAGAGTTTGAGACCAGCCTGTGTAAGAGACCCCATCTCTACAGAAAGAAAGAAAGAAAGAAAGATTAGCCAGCAACATGCAGGTAGTCCCAGCTGCTTGAGAGTTGGGAGACTAAGGCAGGAAGATCCCTTGAGCCCAGGAGTTTGAGGCTGCAGTGAGCTATGATGATGCCATTGCACTCTAGCCTGGGCAACAGAGCAAGACTCTGTCTCAAAAAAAAAAAAAAAATGCAAATTAAGATGATTTTAGAAAACACCCATTCTGCTCCACCACAGAAAGCGATGCAAAGAAGGCCTGGGCTCAGCCACTCCTGGTTTGCTTGTAGTCCTGGGTGTCCACGCCCTGCCTCTGGGCCTTAGTCTCTGGAACTTGTGAAGAAGGATGTGGGAGGCAGCGGACAGGGAGCTGCTTCCAGTTCTGACTCTCCTTCCCAGAGTGTGGTGCAAAGGCAGAATTGGTCATCCTAGAAAGTGGTCCAGGCAGAAAACAGAAGGCAATTTAGGAAGGGTTTAGTTTAGATCAAAGATCCATGGCTAAAAGAATGCTGCTTCCTAAGGAAATTGCAGGGGCCAGTGGGGTGGGGTGGGGTGGGGTATGGTGTGTCCCAAATCTACAGCACTAGCAAGAAATCCAGGGTGCCCACCCAGCTCACCTTCTGAGGCCATCCCACCCCTTCCAACTGCCCTGCTAAGACCAGATCCAAGCTGGAGAGAAGGAATGGACAGGCTTATCAGAGCTGGAGCCTTTGGGGCCCTTCTCCCTCCTGCCCTCTACTTCCCTGAGACAACAGGCATCAGGGGAGAGGGCTCTCCCTTCCCCCCTCCTTACTCTAAACATGCCCGCAGCCTGCCCATCTTCATCCCACCCCGCCCCGAGCCGCACACTCACACTCCCGCACACACATGAACACACGCCCCTTCAGAGCCCTGGTACCACCAACTCACTCCCTTCCCTGGTAACTTCAGCTTTCTCTCCCTGCCAACACACCCACACCGGTGGCTTTTCTTCTAAAACACTTTCCCTCCATGCTGCTGTTTCCGTGTCCTTCAGCGGTGGCCTCATCTAACTTCTACCCTCTCCCACCATGTGGAGTCGAGAGGGAGTTCGCTTCATGCCCCTGCCTCCACACTCGCTCACCCTCCCCTCACTCCTTGCCCTCCAGAATCTGCCTTTTAAACACATCCCCAAACTCTCTGTGGCTGCAGCCCTTGAGGACCCGCAGCAACCTCTGAGCCCCCTGGTCCCGTGCCTCCAGGTCTCTCAGCAGCCTTGGCATGGGCCACCTGCCCCCTTGGCCCTGTGGTACTCTTCCTCTTCCTGGTCCTCCTGTGAGCCCAGCCATTCTCTCTCTCAGTTGCCATCAATGCTGGAACTTTCCTGAATGTAGGGCCTCACTGCTCTCTTTCCTCCTTCTCCACCTGTGGGTGACTTCACCCCCTCCCATTGCTTTAAGTACCTGAGACTACAACTCTCCATCTCCAGGCTTGATGGCTTTTTTACCTGCGTTCCAGACCCATGCTGCCAGCGAACAGCAGATACCACCTCTGAGATACCCTACAGACATTTCTGATTCAGAATGCCCAAGCCAGCCTCTTCCTGCCCTTTCCAGCCCTTCCCCTCCCTCCGTGTTCCCTGTCAGCTGTGGCATAGCTACACTGCCTGCTGCTCAACATCTACCCCCTTGCCATCCCTTGGAGGGAGGGGGGGTACGCATCTCTGGAAGGAGGCACCCTTCTCCCTGCCCTGCACGTGTCTCATCTGCTCTCCCTGCCTCTGGCGTCTATTCCTCCACTGTCCTCTTCTCGTCTACTCCCCACCTTTTCTGGGCCACAGGCCTCTTTGCAAATTCATTTCTGCATCTGACATACCTGTATTGAGTATCAACTATGTGCCATGCTCCCCTCTGGAGGCTCAGGATACATCAGCGAACAAAATAGACATGGTCCCTACCATTACAAGCCTCTAGTCTAACTTCCAGTATGGAATCTGGTAGAAAGGTCAACGCTTTCTTCAGAAAAAAAATGTGGCTTATGCACCCAGTTTGCTTTCAATTCTAGAGGTCCACAGTCACTAACCACCTCTGTAAGTGCCTGAAGGGGAATGATCTCCCTAACAGGGACACATATCCGATCCTCCATTCAGGACTTGACAGATCTTGAGAGCCTGCTGTGTGCCAGGTACAGCCTTGGGGCTCTTCCGACTCTCCTCTTCCTGGCCTACAAGTCACTGCCCCGCTGTTCCCCGACACTGCTGCACTCCCTACCCCTGATCTTCCCTTTCGAGACCCTGGACTTGGGCCTAGGCTGTTCCCAGTGTTGGCAGCTCCCCTCCCTTCTTGTCCCTGGCAAAGTTCTCCAAGGCTCAGCTTAAATGTCATATCTCTGGGACAGTATCCTCAGCCCTGCAGGCAGCTATCATTGTCTCCTCCCTGGGTGCCTTAGACATGGCTTCATTGCATTGTTGAAGACTATGTCTCTCCAAGCATGAGAGAGACTCAGAGGCTGGGACCCTGCGACCATACACCCCCTTCTTCCCTTTAGAGCCTGGGCTGATAGCTCTATATGGAGTGCCGAGTTGATGGAATCTTCCACGACCCTCCTCTCCTGGGTGCAGGGTCCCACCAGAGCTGGGCAGGAGGCCCTTGGGATTGTCCTAGCCTCCTAAACAAGGTACTGTCCTGGGGGAGCCTCAGTTTCATCTGATGAATGGGTCACCCAATCCAGAAACAAGGCCTGGTCCTGTCTTCTCCTGGGTATTATAGACTCCTAAGAGCCTGAAGCTCCCCCTGCCCGCTACCTGTCAGGGCCCTACCCTATTTGCTGCATCCTGAAACTTCCTTGTTCTACCTGTCCTGCCCCTGGGCTCTCAGCTAGGAATTGTTAGTGGTGGAAGACAGGGAACTTCTGATTCCCTGTGACCGAGGTGCCCTTGGAGTGACTCGGAGAGAGCTGCCACCTCCATATACTACCCACCCACACACTGTACACACCTCACCTGGCACAGGGGCCAGGGACAGGGGCAGCAGTCTCCCTTCTGGCAAAATCTCCTCTGTCCTCCCTGCCTGCATGGCAGCTGGCCCTGGCTTCATAGTACTCTGCCTGTCCAGGCCACACTCAGGGCATCTCTGTTGGCCCCCAGAAACCCCATCCCCAAATTGTGCTGTCTGTCTCTGTGCCTGCTGCCCTGAGACATCTCACCCAAGCCTTCCTGTGCCAGGAGAAAACTGCCCCCCCTCAAGTCCTGGGCACGGGGCCCTCCCCTGCAGAACCACATGTTCCTTTGTTTATGAGGGGCAGGCTGGAACAGGCCCCTCAGGCAGGCACTGGGGAAAATGTGGAGGATGCAGCCTCCCAGATCCGTTCCTGCCAGCAGAGACCCAGCTGGGAAGGAAGGGAGGGGCAGCCACCTCAGGGTAGGCCCGGGTCAGTGTGGCCATGGGGCACCCGGAGTTCAGGGCAGCGCCCAGCCTGCCAGGAAGGCAGGACAGTCCTGAGTCCCTAGGGATTCCAGCTGGAGCTAGGAGAGCGGAGAGAGAAGGCAGCGGCTCCGGCTCCTCCAGGGAGCCCCACCCTTCAGCTCTACTGAACCCCCTCGTGCATCTCTGGGACCTGCCTCCCTGAAGTCACCAGGCAGCTGGTACACCAAGATGTCCGCAGCCAGCAAACGTGGGGGTCCTCATTGCTGTCCCCTTGCCTCTTTCTTGTCCTCAAAAAGGAGGAGCTCTCCCAGAGCCCTGCGCCTCCTTTCTACAGGTCTCATGCACCTTCATGGGACGAGCCCTTCCTCAAAATCCTGGTGCTTCTCCTTTCCAGTACCCTGTGAGCCTCTCCCCACCTTGTCCTGTTGCATCTGACGTGTGTAAGGGAAGCTCCTTTGAGTTCAGGTGTGGGTGGCAAGGAGGATCTGGCTCTGGGTCCCCCAAGCAGTGACTTCTGACCCTCAGGTGGTCCACTGCCCTGCTTATCCGATGTATGGGGAAGGGAGAGAAGCCTTCTTCCGGGGAAGCTGGGTTTGGGGCATCTAATTGGGCTGGAGCAGGGAAGGAGATGATGTCTCAGTCAGAGGAGCCTCCAGGGCTCTGCTTAATAAAGGGAACAAACTCTAATTGACAGAAGAGGACTGTGGGCAGGCACCAGGCCAAGAAGACAGACCAGCTTGTGCCAGGAAGGGTATGGTATAGTCAAGCAGCTGTCACCATGTCAGTGAGAATGTCACCACAGCAATAGGGTCTGTTGACAAGACCCTTATAGCACCCTTGTTTGGAGGATCTTGGGGTGAAGGTGTCTGGGAAGAGGCTCACCCCAGAGGTGGAGGCAGAGCCCAGGTAGGGACTGCGGGCCAGTTTGTGTCTCTATAGCCCCTGCCCAGCCTCTCTGCTTACCAACCCCTGTCCTCCTTGCCCCTTCAGCTCTATGGCTTGGCTTTATGTCCCTGCGGCTCAGTACAGTGACAGCTCCACTGCCCTCCTTCATGCGCCACCACCCCGTCAACCTACTGCGCATGGTCTGGGAATCTGGTTTTTTAATTCTGCACTAAAAAGAGGAGGAGATTAAATTATGTAAAAAATGTTCGTGTTACTTCTTGCTTCCCCTGGGGTCTGGACTGGGGTACTGGGCTCTATCCTGAGCTCACACTGGCCCCTGGAGAGCGCTGGGATGAAGGGAGGGGTGAAGCTGGGAACAAACCCTTGCAGAGCCTAAGCATCTGGGGTAGGAGCTGGAAACTCTGAGAAGGAAGGAGAGGTTTGGGTGGAGCTTCAGAAAGAAAAGGGGAACCAGGGCCAGGTGCCCTGGGGTCACAGCACTGGGGGGCCCTGCCCAGGTGTGACCCCACAACTCTCAGCATCAGGCTCCTAGAGTCGCGCTTGTCCTCACCTGCTACAGCTCCCAGTCCACTTCTGCCTTGGCCTTGCTGGGTGCCCTTGGCCAAGCTAGGAAGCCCCACTGGGGCTGTTTTCCCATCCATAAGCAGAGAACCCCCAGACTGGCACTGAGGATCAAGTCCAGGATCTTTTTGTTCTTTGAGGTATACAAGGTCCTAGCACACAGAAGGCGCTCAGTCAATATTTGTTGAATGAATGAATGAGTGAATAAATGAAACAAATATCCTCGAAGAGGTCACAGACTGCCCCTTAGTGGCAAGGCTGATTTGAAGGCAGAGGAGAGCCACAGGTATGGATGGGAGTCTGGGCACAATTGCCATGGGAACCTGTCAGACAGTGGCTCTCCCAGATACCTGAGAATTGGCCCTGCGCATCTGCAGTGACAGGCCAGGGCAGCTGGGAATGAGGGAGGTGGCCTTGTGGCTTCCCAGGGGCTGGCTTTCCTCATGCAGGAAAGTGTTACAAAGAAGGTCCAGTCCTAGACAAGTGGGCGTGAGGAATCACAGATTTAGAATGTATGAGTAGCCGTGAGCTGCACCCTGTGTTGTACTGGGGGCTCAGTCTCCCCGCAGTGCAGGGACTTGTGTTCCACCCAGACCCCAGAACCAGCTGTGCTGAGGGGGGTCTACCTCCCATCCAGCCTGTGCAGCCACTGTGGCTCTGTAGGGAGAGGTGACCGCCGAGTGACCGCTGGGGAGCCACAGCCAGCCCTGGCTCATGCCTCTCCCCCCTTATCCCTCCCTAACCAGAAAGAACTCACGACTACAGTTCAACAAGGTGAAGGTGGAGGACGCTGGGGAGTATGTCTGCGAGGCCGAGAACATCCTGGGGAAGGACACCGTCCGGGGCCGGCTCCACGTCAACAGCGGTAGGTGTCTCCCAGTGAAGGGAAGGGTCCTGGAGGGGTTTGGCAGGACAAGCCCGCTGCCCCCAGCCCTGGGCCGCACATGATTCATCTGCTCTCGACTCCTCTCCCTCCTGCTGCCGCTGTATCAAGCCCTAGATCTCAGCCGATTCAGAGAAATGCAGTCGAAGCATAAATGTTTAGCTTTGTTATCTAGGCCTGGAAGAGCCGCCAGCTCTCATTTTAAATACCCTGAAAACTAAATATTTTGAAATCAAGAGGTGGGGGTGGAGGGAAGGATATTTTTAGAAGGCAATTATAGGAGGCTGGCCTGCCAGGAGCGGGGCTGGGGGAGAGGCAGGCCCGGGGCGTGTGCAAGCGGTTGCCTTGCCGGACACCTGAGTGCAGGCTGCCATCTCCACCGGGCCAGGGTGGCAGGCTTGGGTGCCTGGGCCCTGGGGGCAGCCCCTGTTCAGGGAAGGCAGACCCTTCCCCCACGGGCATCCTCTCTCCTTAAAGACTTGCAAGGTCAGGCCCTCACGCACCTCTTAGCTTCTCGCCTCTGCAGTGGCAGATCCAGCTTCAGAGCACAGGCCGCCTTCCTGCTGGGCTGTCCTTCAGGCCCTCGTTCTTTCCCTTGGCTGGGAAGTCGCCTCTCCTCTCTGCCAAGGCTGCCTGTCCTCAGGTAGCGCCCCTCCACCCCAGCCCCAGTGCTCCAAATCCCATGGATCGCTTTCCTCCTCTGGCTCTCACAGACTGAGTGGGCCATTTGGCTGCCTATTTACTGGGGTTGCTTCCAGTCTGCCCCTGTCATAGCATCCAATCCTGCGTCTGTCGTCACCTGCCTGTTTTTCACCAGACAACCTTCCAGTACTCCCTAAACCCAGTGTGGCCTAAAAGAGAACTTGGGACACTCCCTGTCCTAGGACCTTCTGATGAAAACCCAACTCAGACCCTGTCTGTCCCACGTTGGTGAGGGGGACCCCTATTCTCCCAGCCTTTTGGGCTCCTTAGTCTCCCCTGCCACCATGTCTGATAAGTCTGAGTCTCCACCTCCTGGTCAGTCTTCTTTTGGGATCTTTCTCAGACCTGTCTCTTCCACTCCACCTGCACCTCAAGGATAACACTAGCTCAGGTTCCATCCCTGCTCATCTGAACCAGAACAGTGGCCTCTTAAGGCACCTTTATCCTGTCATGACCTCTGCTCCGTGGAACCACAGAACAATGCCTTTGTTCAAACCAGTCTGGCCCAAACAATCTTTCCAACCTAACCACAGTCAGTGCCCTTCACATCCCATTCTTGCTTTTTCTCCCACGCCAGCTCTCCCAGGAAGCTTCCCTCCTTGGCCACCCACCCCACTGTAGTGTCACTCCCAGCTAGGGCCCCACTCCCAGGCCATGTCTTTGCCAACTGTAGTCTCGTGGCATCTACTGAGTTCTAGCCTCGGATCAGTCTTCACCTCTCATACTGCTGCTGAATGTTCTCTGTGGGCTTGACCTCCCCATGAAACTCTCAGCAGAACAGGGGTGTTGCCTTCTCCTACAGCAATAGCTGTTTATGGAGCCCACTCCACATTATCTCGTGATCCTTTACTCAGTCTCAGGGTCTGTTTTACAGATTATGAGAAGCTCAGAGAGGTTAAATATTTAGCCCAAAGTCAAACAGCTGGTTAATGATAGAACTGTACAATGTAAAAGTAGTTGGCAAACACTTAGCCTTCGAGCTTTGTGGGCTATGTCTAGCCACAGGGCCTGGGACAGCACCTGGCTCATGGTGGGTACCTGGTATTAACAAATATTATATTAACATAAAAGAACTTATAAGCTCCTCCAGGGCTTTTTCTGCCTCAGACATGGCCCAGCCTGGCATGGGAGGTATGGGGTGCCCAAACCCCTCTCCTCTCCACCTGTTCCGAGCTTGGGATAGGGGCTGGTCCTGGGGTCTAGCACCTGCCGCCTCTGCCATCATGTGCAGACGTTCTCAGGTCCACTTTGGATTTGGTGCTTCCTGTTTTATCAGTCTAGACTTTCTTGGTTAGAAATGATTTAAATCTATCTTGAGGAATTTATTTATTGATTTGCAAAACTGGGAAGTCCAAAGGTAGAACTGGCCCCAGACATGACAGAGTCCAGGAACTCAGAGAAGGGGTCAAGACACCTTCTCCCACTGTGTGTTGACCTCTTTTTTTCCTGCTGTAAAATGGGCTTCTCCTGTATTTGGGGAACAGAGTGGGAAGAGAAGGCCATGGCCTCAGATAGCTCCAGGTTTACATCATCCCAGCCCACCGCTGCGAGAAAAGAAATTGCTCCATCTTTGCACGCATACATACAGCCACAGGATGGGTTCTAACTGACCCTGCTTAGGTCAGGTGCCCCACGTGGCCCAGTCCCTGTGCTTGGGGTGCAGTCTTTGCCAGGCACGACTGTGTGTGCGTGCAGAGGCGCTACTGAGAGGACAGGCGGAGTGCTAGGAGCAATGGCCTTGCCAGGATCCCATGTAAAAGTGCTTCCCTAGAGAGGCGAGAGGGAGAGGCTGCCACACAGAAACCCACACGAGCACCCTCTCTCCGGCACGGGCATGGGGCCTAAGGCTGGAGACGTGGTAAAACCTTTAGATAAACCACCTTCCCGCCCCACACACGGGCTCCTGTCCACTCTCACCAGGCCATGAACTGATCAGCTTGGGAACCAGATCGTGGAGCCTTTGGGCCATGCACTGAGGGCGTATCTGAATCCCAGCTTCCTACAGGGTTCTTGCCTCTTGTCCCTCCAGCCTAGCAGGAGAGCGTCTGGGCAGAGCAGTGGAAAGAGTTCAGAGATTTCATCTGGTCCCAGCTGTATGTTGTGCAACCTTGAACAAGTTACTGCAGCTCCCTAGTCTTCAGTTTTCCCATCATGGGGCTAAGCTAGATGATCTATAAACCCCTTCCCCCTAAAATTCGGGGATTCTGAGTTTGATGTTGAGGCTGACATCCTGTTCACCCAACCAACACACAGTCCATGGCAGGCAAAAGCCTACCTTTGAGGCCGGGTGCGGTGGCTCACGCCTGTAATCCTAGCACTCTGGGAGGCCGAGGCGGGCGGATTGCTCAAGGTCAGGAGTTCAAAACCAGCCTGAGCGAGACCCCGTCTCTACCATAAAAATAGAAAGAAATTAATTGGCCAACTAATATATATATATATATATATATATATATATATATATATATATATAAATCAGCCGGGCATGGTGGCTTGTGCCTGTAGTCCCAGCTACTCGGGAGGCTGAGGCAGGAGGATCGCTTGAGCCCAGGAGTTTGAGGTTGCTGTGAGCTAGGCTGACGCCACGGCACTCACTCTAGCCTAGGCAAGAAAGCAAGACTCTGTCTCAAAAAAAAAATTATTAAAAAAAAGCCTACCTTTGACGTGGGCAGGTGGACAGGGCCACTACAGGGACCAGGAGGCCCTGCTGGGGATGCCCAGGACCCTTGTTTACCCATGGAGCCCAGGAGACCTATAGCAACCACACTCTGGGGAGGGGAGTGGAGGGCAGGCAGTTGTATCTGCCCCGCTCTGACTCATCCCAAGGTGGGTTGGCTTGGCCCACCCGGCCCTAGGGAAGCCAGGGCTACAAGGGTGGGGCGGCCAGAAGAGGGAACAGGACGGCTGTCAAGGGGCAGCAGGCTGCTCAAGAGACATCACTTTGGCTCTTGGGTGGCTACTGCTCTGTTCAGGTGGAGCACGATGCTCCTTGCCCAAATCAGAGCAGGCCCTCCTGGCAGTCACAGCCCTGCCAGCTCACAAGAGCCTTCCTGCCTTCCTGAGCTAGCTGAAAGGATGAAGAGGGTCAGCAGGCAGTTTGTGGTGCTCGTAACACAATGATCAACTTGGTCCAACCTGCTTCTGAGTTAGGGAAATTGGCTGCCTTGTCCCAGGTGAAAGGGAGCTTGGGAATGTCCTGAGGAGGCTGGACCAATCCCAGGATGTTGGGCTTTGCCCCAGAGGGCAGGCAAGGTTGACCTGGGGCATCATGGGACCATGGAAGCCTGGAGAGGCCCTTGGGCCTCTCGCTTACCTGAGGGCTTTAAAAGGCAAGATGCTTACACACACACACACACACACACACACACACACACACACACACTCAGCCACGCACTCAGCAGGTACCTATTCAATAAGACCTTGCTCTGAGCTCTGGGGAGTCACAGTCTTGGTTCCCCACGAAGTCCCTCAGGTGGCAGGAAGCTAAAACCTGAGCTCAAAAGTGTTTGTCTTTTCTAACAGACTGAAAGGAAGGACAGGCAGTTTTGCCAAAGGGAGAGGGGCCACCACGCAGGTAGGGAGGGAGCCCTAATGGATGAAGAGGATGAGTGATCTGAGCCTGGAAAGATAAACAGAGGTTCTCTCTGAGTGCAAGGGCAAAAAGCAGCCGCAGCCATGGGCAGCATGAAGACGCCTCCACTGCCCCAGTCCCATCCTCGCTACGCTGGGCCCTGATAAACTCGCACCCAGGCCCCTAGGCGCTGTGGCTGGTAAAGACTCCCTGGGCTTACCCCTGCCAGGCATGTTTTTAAACTAATTTTTTGAGCTATAATTTACACACCATAACATTCACCCTCTTAAAGTATACAGTTAAGTGGTTTTTAGTATATTCACACAGTTGTATAACCATCACCACTAGTTTCAGAACATTTCTACATCCCAAACTAGGCACTGATGTTGTCAATGTCCCGGGCAGGAGAGCACCTAGCTCCTTAGAGGAGCAGGGCAAAGACCAGTGTGGTCTGAGCACACTGAAAGAGACCAATGGGCGATGAAGTGGGAGAGGTGCTGAGGCCCACATTAGACCTGGGGAGGACTTGAGGGATTTATTCTGAGTGCAAGTGGAAGCCACTGGAGAGCTTAGATAATGGGAGTGATCGGCCCAATTTGCATATTTTAAAGACCACCGTGGCTGCTGCATAGTAAAAAGAGTAGAGATGAAGGCGAGAGTGAGGGCAGAGAGACCAGCGAGGAGGCTGCTGTGGTCATCTGAGAAAGAGACCAAGGTGGCATGGCCTAGGGATGAGGTGGTGAGACAGGATGGAGTCTCTTGAGGAGGCAGAAACAGCAGCCCTTGTGGTGCAGGCGACCTTGGGGAATAGAGGAGGAGGAAAAACGAGAGATGTCCTTTAGGTCTTTGATTTGTGCCATTTGATCACTGAGAAGGGGAGACTGGGATGAAGGTGATTGGGCAGATGACTGAGAGCCCAGTTTGGGTGTGTTGGGTTTGGGTGCTGTGAGCCACCCAAGTGGGGGTATCAAGGGAGTAGCCCAACCGGAGTCCCTGTGTCCCATTCACTTCTCCAAACACAGAACACAGTGAGGAAATACAGCTACACTGACAAGGGAGCGTAGAGCCCACATGCACTAGGATAGCATAACTACGCCACTGCGTGAGCACAGCCCTCCAGTGTGCCATCTCCCTGCGTGTGGCTTCACCACCAGCACAGTCAGGCTCCAGTGACTTAGGAAGGCCCTGCCATTACTGGGGGTGGCCTCTCTGAGGTGGAAAGGCCTGTGGTAACTGTTCCCCCACACCCACTCACTGTCCTCCCTCCTTCCTTGCTGGGGCCCTGGCCTAGTCCCCAGATGACATGGTGCTGGCAGCCCAGGCCCAGCACATCCAGCTGGGGAGGCCCCCCCTTTCCTCAGGGGTTGTTGCCTGCCTCCCAAGGCCTCAATGAGCACAGATACCGAATGTGTGACAAGCCCAAGTGTGCAGCACGGTCCCTGACACCCCCACTGCCCAGGGAGCAGAGCTGGGCCTGGCAGTCCAGGCCAAAATGTCTCTGGCTTGGCCAGGGCCCACAGGAGGACCCAGGCCTGGGGCCCGCGTTGCACTTGCCTTCATCTACGCAAGTCAAGCGTTGGTGCGACATGCTCGTCCACCAGGGCTGAGGCCAGTGTGGATACGCAGCTGGGACTCAGGAGACCTGAGGCTTTGTCAAAACACACATCATGATTCTGGATGGGCACTTCGCTGGCTCCTCCTCTGCAACGTAATGAAGGACAGGACAACCTCCAGTGCCCTCTCAGCAATCGGATTTTTACAACTCGCAGGCGTGGTTGCCTCAGCTGTCTCTCTCTCCGTCCCTTCCTTGGTTCCCTGGGTCTCACTGACCCAGAAGTGGGGCAGAACCAGCAGGAGGCCTCCTGCCTGGCTAGCATGTGGGTGCCAGCTGCGTTTGGGGTTAAGCAGAGGCGGGTGACCTTGGTGGGGACAGGGCATGATGTGCAGGGGAGGGTGGAGCCGCCCCTGCCCGCTGGGTTTTATCACCGAGCTCCTCCGACATACACAGACCGGAGCTCTGTATACACTCGCAGTCCCCACGCTCTATCTGTCTCCCGCATGTCTAAACACTGAGGGCGCCAAGTGCCTGCCCCCTCCTCCTCCTCTCACCTCCCCAGCACTGAGGGGAGCGACAGAGACTCAACACCCCGAGCAGACAGGGCAGCCAAGGCAGGATGGGCCACCACGGCCAACACGCCAGTGCTGGGTAAGAGGCCCAGAGAGATGAGAGAGCAGGGACCTGTTTCTGGCTGTACAATCTGGGTAAAACAGGCTGGGTGTCATCTTACACATGAAAACTGATGTTTGGGGTCAGAATTTTTACTTGAGACCAGCTTTCTGGATGCCATCTCCTAACGGGGGCACAAAGCTTTAGTTATTTCCATTTCTCAAGTGAATCTGATCAGTCAGATGTGCAGTCTGGGTGAGCAGCCTGAAACCAGTCTCACTCTCCCCCAGCTCCACACCCCAGCTGTCCCCACCCCTCTGCTCACCCTGTCTCTCCTCAGCAACCTGAAGCCCATGATTTACAGCCTGGGCTGTCCAAGGCCTGGAGGCTCCCTCCAGAGGCAACAGTGACTAGGTGGGAGAGGAAGGGACTTGCCTGGTATGGGGGGACGTGGGGAACTCCGTGGATGCTTATGGAGACAGCGCACAGTGGCCTTCGTAGCATTCCTGGGAGGCTTAGAGCCGGCCCAGCCCTGGGAGAAAGGATGGAGAGAGTAGAAGCTAGAGTTCCCCCTATATCTTTCCAGATCTTAGAAAATGACAGTGTTCAAAAGATATCATTCCCCTGAAAGCCCAGCTCCCTTCCAGCCACTCCCCGGTCCACCGTGCGAGTGCAAGCAGTGCACACAGGTGGACGTGTCTCTTCTCTGCAGCACCTCCTGCCTTTGTTTCCCACATTAGACATCAGCACCTCATCTACCCACAGTGGATCCCCAGAAAACAGGCAGGGCAGAGGAGAGGTGGGCCCTTATTCCAGCAGAGGAAGTGGTTTCTGCTATCTTTTCACCCTCTCCAAAAGAAGAAAATCTTCCTGGCCTTTGGAGGTTTGGCCAGAGCGTGGGTGCAGGGTCACACTGGGCAGATGGGCAGACCTCATGGTGGCCTCCCATTTGCCTTGCTGGAGACTGGAAAGGACCGCCAGACCTGCCCAGTCATTTCCTGCAGTCTCTGGTGGTCTTCCAATTTTGAGATGGGACATGAAGGGCCATGAAGGATGTGACTCCTGGGGCCCAGAGGTGGTCTCAGTGGGTCACTGGCACGTGTCTCTCATACCCTCAGTGAGCACCACCCTGTCGTCGTGGTCGGGGCATGCCCGGAAGTGCAATGAGACAGCCAAGTCCTATTGTGTCAATGGAGGCGTCTGTTACTACATCGAAGGCATCAACCAGCTCTCCTGCAAGTAAGTGACCAATGGGGGTGGGCATGGGGCAGGAGCAGGGTTGGAGATGCTGGGGCAGAAGTGGAGGGCTCTAGGAAAAGCAGCTTCAAGCTGCTGACAAGGGGTCCTCAAGGGGTATAGACAGGGAGGTTTGCCCCACTTCCTCGCCCTTTCCTGGAATATAGGGAGATGTAAGCTCTAAAGGGCACAGGGGCTTCCGCTGTCCCAGTTTCCCAGGCCCTCCCATCCCCGTCTCCTGATGTCTACCCTTTCCCTGACACCCTTTAGGGAGATGGGCATGCCAGTTTATCTACGCTCTAGGCACTGGGGCACTGGGTTCTCTCCCTCTCTCTCTCTCTGTCTCTTTCTCTCTCTCTCCTCCCTCTACCCCACCTCCTTCCCTCCCCACCTCTCAGCAACTCCCCAAACTTTGTTCTTGAGGAACACGTGCCAGGCTGCAGTTCCCCAGCAGTGAGGAGCCTGGCAGGCTCAGGCAGAGGGTAGGTTCCAGACCCCTTGGCAGCTGAGAGTCCTGCTCCTGTAGACTTGAGAAGAAGAGAAGGATCTCCCCAGAACCCAGTTCTGACCTTGGGATCGGGCTGCTCTTCCTGCCCTACAGGACCCCATTGCCCAAATAGGCCCCAGCTGCTGCCTGTGCCCCTTAAGCCCCTAGCTCCCCTCCATGGGGTGGGAACACCAGCAAGGATCTCATTCTGGCTGTGGCCCAGCGAGGGAGTTGGGGTGTAGGAGAAGCTCAAGCTGGGGCCTCTCTGCCTCCCCAAGGGCCAGAGCCTGCTCACCAGCCAGGCAGGGTGGCCCCAGCAGGAACTCCAAGGAGCTCAGAACCACCCACTCCCCACAGCAAACAGGGCAGGCGGGAGTGAGGCCATCAGGGCCGGCTTGTTCAGGTCCAGCCAGATCTTCCAGGGCCCTCAGTGCACCCCTGACAGAGTCTCGTAGGTGTGTGAGGAGGGGAGGGCAGCACAGGCTCCAGCCAGATCTTGGGAAGGAGGAGGAGGGGGTCCTAGTTAACAACTTTGGTTTTTCAAAGCAGCCCAAGCCCAGAGCCCTGGCCAGGTGCCAAAGCTGCCCCATTCCCATGGCATCTGGGCCAAGGCCCCCAAAGTCCTGATGGAGAGTCAGAGAGAGGTGTTTGACCTCTCCACAGGCGAGGCCAGACTCAGCACTTCTTGGCTGTCCTGCCTCTGCCCTTCGACTCCAGATCTGCACCCCTCCCTTGCCACTGCCTTTCCCGGACTGCAGCCTGGTAGGGAGGCCAGGACTGTTAAAGACCCTTCCCTCTGATGTGCTAACGAGGGCCAGAGCCATGCCTCCTTCACACCTCCTGCAGGGGTGGCTTGGCCTGCACCACCAGGCAGACTGTGGCTCTTGCCCCAGCTGGCCTCCTTCACTGGCATCCTCCCGTCCTGCCCTTCACCTGCTGCCATCCCTTTCCCGCCCTCCCCCATCCTGAATCTCAGGAGACAGTCCCAACAGCAGGTCCACCGGGGAAGTTCTCAGCCGAGACTCAGCCCCTCATCCTCCCCCTCCTCCTGCCTCTAGGATGCTGTCACTTTAGTGTCACAGACCCTAGGGAACATTCTAGCCTTGAAAATGCTCTGAGCTCTTTGGAATCTAGATATACTAGAAACTCATAAGTCCTGGATACCTCACAGGGACAGCCCAGCCCTGTACCCCTTTTTCTTGTCCTCCGAACACTCACACCAGGCCTCTCCTCCTCCCTAGCCCTTTGGACCCCTGAAGGGAAGCCAGCACTGTTGCTGAAGTGAGCCCTGGCTCCAGGCAGGGACATTCTCACCCCATCCCCAGGACAGGTGCCAGGGCTGAAGGCCATGTGGGCCCGGGCACCAGTGCTAGAGCTCAGTGTGGGAAAGGGGACAATGTGATACGTGGGCTCCCAGAGGGCCCGGCCAGCAAGGCTGCACCCCTAGGGCCAGTGGGTCCTGCCCAGCTAAACCTGAGAGGAGCAGAGGGCAGGAGCCTGAGCTACCATGAAGGTGGTACCCTGTTTCCCCTCGCCCCCCGGGCAACTGGGCTTCGCTGCTTAGAACTTGAACTTGGTCCCAGAGCCAGCACCTGCCCATCTCAACCCCCTCCCTCCGGGTCCAGCCAGGGCTCCTGAACTGACTTCCCTGACTCCCCTTGTCAGCCCTCAGGGGAGAGGGACATCCCTGGTGGGGATGCAGGTCCTCAGAGCTGTGCTGGAGAAGGGCAGGGGGGAGGGGGGCAGGGCAGAGCCCAGAGGCCATTCTGGGGGCGGGTGAGCGGGAAGGGAAGGGGGGAAGGCCTCTTGGGGTTCCTGATGACACCTGAATGGAATAAAAAGGAAAGAACTTAGGAAATGGAACTCACGTCTTACCATTTGTGCTGTTTGTTTACTTTTTATTTTGATTTTTTTGCATTTCCGCTTAGCTTGGATAATGAAACTACACTGGTCAGTTTCATTCCAGTTTCTATAAAACTCAGTTTTCCTTCCTGGTTTTCTTACACTTGTTGTTGTGTATTGGTTCAGAGTCCTGCAGGGAGTGTTGGAAAGCAGGCACACTCCGTCCCTCCTGTTTTTCTGGAATTCAGTGCCAAAAGAAACAGTGTCACTGATACTGAATTTTGTTTTAAAAAACAAAACTTAGGGGGATTTGAAAATGGGAGTCCAAATCAAGGTGACTGTCCCCTGTCTGGGCCAGACAGGGGCCTCTGCACTCCCTCTTGCTGCTTTCTCCTCTTCTCTCCGTGTGTTTGCAGAGCACAGTTGGTGCGTGACTCTTGGGGACTGGTTCAGGGGATGATGACAGAACAAGACTCTCTTTCCAGCCCTGTGCACATACCAGTGGCATGCCTCCCCCCATCAGCTCATCCCCATCCCTCCCTCCATGTCCAGGCGATTCCCCGTCCCACGGCCATCTGCCTGCTCATCCTCACCACATCTCCACCCCCATAAACTCGGAGCCCCTCCCCCCTCCAGTGCCCTGGGCACACCTTCATCCTCCATCCTCCCCTCCCCTGGGTGAGGGCAGCACACATGGCATTATCCCCAGGCTACCAAAAGGAGAAACTGAGGCCCGGGAGGTGGGGTGGGGCAAGGGGAAGGCAGAGGTCCTGACCTCTCTGTCACCCCAGATGCAGCCCATGGGCTCTCCTCTCTGCCCCTTTCTCAGCCTGCTCTTCTCCAGCCCTGGGGACAGTCCTTCCCAGAGTCATAGCTGATGACCTGATGGGAAGGGCTGGGAAGGCTGTTACCTGCTGCTCCTTCTAATCTGTCCTCTGTGCCCCCGAAATTCAGAGGCTCAATCCCTGTTCGCTCAATCCCAGACTCCCATCCTGGTTGGTAGGTTACCATACCCTGTCCCCTCCTACCCTGGTCGTGGGTGCAGGTTAGAGAGGCTATAGCCCAGCTCACTCTCAAAGCCCTCTCTAGGGAAGCCCCAGCCTCCTGGATATGGCCCATCCTCAACAAGCAGGACTCAGGAGAGAACTAGGAGTGTCCAGAAGCCCCTGAAAGAGCAGTGCCCCACAGCACAGCACCAACTATTGTCCTCCGCACCCCGCCCTGTGCACCCCCCAGTGCCCTCTCTGTTGCTCAGCCCATGGAGAGCACACTTTCTCAAGGCAGGGAGGTTAGCACCATAATGTTGCATAGCTGCAGGGCGCATTCACGTTGTGGACTATATAAGTGCTGCCACCTGGAGTTGTGCAACTCAGTGGCCATGAAAGGTATGAGGATCCAGTCAGGGTAGTCCAGGTTGGGTATGGGAGCAGCGACACAGGGACGTATTTAGTCATGGGACAGCAGCCCGGCTTGTTAGCAATGGGAATAAATTTCCCCTTTGTCCCCTCTTGCCCCTGCACTCCTCCATTCTCTCTCTTAAACACACACTCATACACACTCACACACAGGTGTCCCTTCCTCCAAGAGCCACGCTGATCTCAGACATTGGACACAGGCAAATCTATCTCTTTCTTGTTCCTTTGTGGATTCCAAGAGTCCTTTTGTCAACTTCCTGGGTCTTTATTCACCACCTCCAAAGACACTTCTGTTTGAAAATTCACTTCTCCCCCGCCCCAGTCCCCATCCCAAGTGGGTATCAGTTTCCAAGAGCTGGGGAAGAAGAGCTGAGCCTGGCTGGAGTTAGTTGGGAAGTTTTAGCCACCACTTCCATTTTCCTGGGTTGGGATGATTAGGGATGAGGGCCAGGGATCAGAGAAGGATGTATTGACAAGGGACTGATGGTGGGCTCCTCCTCCAAGCCACCCTGTTTCAACAGGATGAGCATGCACTCACCCACCCACACCACTTTCCCCATACACTCCCAACCCACCTCCACCCCCAGGGCCCAGGCACAGCGCACACACGCACACTCCCACCACCACAAGGACCAACCTCCTGCCTCCCCTGGGGGAGATGCCGCTGAGGCCCAGAGAATCTCTAACTCTCTGCTCACCCACCACTCCCATACCCCTTCTCTAGATCTGAGGCCACAAAGTTTTCATGAGTATCTATCACAGCCAATGGCCACCGCCCACTAGAAGCCCAAGGGCTGACTGATGGAATGTACTGGAATGCTATGAAGTAGAGAACACTGACCTCTTGAGGAAGTTTAGATTGATTATTGTTGAACAGCAGCCTATTACCGAGAGTGACAGTGGGCTTACCTGATTTCCCAAGGAAGAAGAGCCAGAGGCAGTACAGACCCATCTCTGAGCAAGGAGATGTGGGGAAGGGGTCAGTCTACCCCTGTCTGCAAGCTTCTCCTTAGGTCTCTGGCCTGGCTGGGGTTCAGATGAGAGTACAGGGCTGGGCCTGTCTGCCAGAAATCTGCAAGACTGAGATTGACTGGAGGAGAGAGGTAGTAGTCAGACAGCAGAAGGAAGTGCACCGTGGGGTTAAGGACAAGGTCAGGAAGATGAGAGTGAAGGGTGCTTCGGGGCATAGGCAAGGCCTGACGGGAGATCCAGGGCAGAGTCAGGCAGCAGTGGAGAAGCAGGTCCCGGGGAAAGGACAGGATCTTCCAGGCTGGCTGCCAGCAAGCCCCAGAATTGGAACAGGCTTTGGGGGTCCCCCTGTGAGCCTGCTGCAGTCCCCATTGTGATTCTTGCCACCTACAGTCACAGTCCCTGCACCTGTTGTCCAGAACGCCAGCTTTGGGATGCTGTTCTTTTCTCTTTCCCTACTAAGCTTTTCCCACATAAATTGCTCTAGGGCAGCCTTCCCAAACCGTGTTCTACAAGGATTCTTCAAAAACAACTTCCATGGTCAAATAAATTTAGGACATACTGGAAAGTTCAGCTATTTCCTTCTATAAAACTTTTTACAGCCTTTCATATGCTAATGTGCACTACAGCTCTACAAGGAGCCCTGGAGTGGATTTCCTAAACTTATTTGGCCACAGAACCCTCTTTGAGAGAACAGATAAAACACCTCCTAGGTCACTTTTGTCAGGGACACACAGGCCAGGAACAGCAATCCAGAGTTCTCCTCTGAGCTTTCCGGGGGTTGTTTCATGGATGAGAAAACCTGCAAGGGCCAAGGAGACAATCTTCAGTAGGGCCTGGGAGCAGTGGCTCCCAAGAACTGTCCCACTGCCTGGCACAAAGGGGCTACAGCTCTGGCTTCATGGGGCACAGGCAGGTAAGAAGGAAAGTCTCAGTGACCAGTAGGACAATTAGTCAGTAGTTTCCCATCTTCCCCCACCCCACTTCCCTAAATCATCCTCCTCCCTGCCCCACCCCACCTTCCCTGCCACCCACGGAGCCACATCTATTAGAGAGATGTTTAAGGATTTCCGAGCCCTCCACCCAGCCCCGACTCCAGCCCCTTCAGCTACAAGTGTGACCCCAAGCGCCTGACTTGGTTTTTCTCATTCATCACTGTGCACTTTGATTTCTAACCTTAGCCTCGTGGATGATGCCAGTTTGTTCTGTGATTTTTCCCCTTTTCCTTCTCCAGATGTCCAAACGGATTCTTCGGACAGAGATGTTTGGAGAAACTGCCTTTGCGATTGTACATGCCAGATCCTAAGCAAAGTATGTTTGAAGATACAAACACAAGTCCCTGCTCCTTAGAAAGCTTCCGGGTGCAGTCCCCCCAATGTAGGGCATAGGGCCAGGGGTGTTGGTTGTTTTGATCTTTGGCTGTTTTGTTTTGTTTCTCTTTTCTTTTTTGTATTTTGGTTTGTTAGTTCTTTTGTTTTGTTTTGTTTTGTTTTGCTTTGTTTTTCATTTTTGGCCTAATCTTTGGGTTTAAAGTTCAGGGCTGCAGGTAAGGGGCAAAGTGGCAAGGCCAGTACAAATGGTAACGGTGGCAAGGAACCCAGCTGGCATTGGCAGGAGCCCGTGCCGGGGTGTTGCAATGCCTGTGTCTTGCTATCCTGGCTCTCTCTTTCTGGTTTTCTTTCTTTTGGTAGGTGTCCTGTGGGATACACCGGGGACAGGTGTCAGCAGTTCGCAATGGTCAACTTCTCCAGTATGTCTCTTTCTTCTATTTCTTTTCTTCCCTGGTGACTGACAGTCTTCCCCTGTGGGAGGGATGGGGCCTTGCTTAGCAAGACTGGGGGGAAGTAGGGAGTGTCCTGGGCTCCTCTCGGTCCTCAGTGCTCACCAGAAGACTGTGCAGAGGAGACCGATACACCCCTGGCACCCCAACCTGCATACATCGGCTGTACCGCCCGGGCACAGCAACGCCGAGTTCTCTCTGCAGCAGTTGGGGCCACACTCAGCCTCCTCCCCACTTCTGGGCTCAGGCAGCCTGGCCAGAAGGGGAAGAAGCGTTGTCAGAACCTTCACCTGCCTCTGAAGGCTGTGTGAGGGTGCCAGGCTGCTGCTGGGGCCAGGCAGTGAGTGTGTGTGCCTGTGTGTGCTGGCATGTTTGAGAGAGAGAAAGAGAAGTTCTCGGAAAGTCTGTCTTCCAGTTTGGCCAGGGTTTGTTTTCAAGTTTGGAAATGTGGGGTGAGAGGAAGGGGGATCGAGAGAGAGCAGGACCCAGGGCAGTGGTTTCCATGGATGCCAGCAACATTATATGGCTACAGGCTGCTGCGTGGGTGGGGAGTGCTGCAGATGCTAAAAGACAAAGGGAATGAGGACTCAAGGGATAATTGGTGACTCTCTCCAGGACCTCTCTAGTCTTAATACCCATCTAGGATTTCATTCCCTTCTTTACTTCCACTCCTGACGTTGGAGCTTTATGGTTTACACAATTTGCTAAGAAAAAAAAGAGTGAGCCTCGTGGCCCAGGGACGCATAGGTAACTGGGGAGTGTTTTATTTGGGGCCTGAGAGCAGTTCCACCAAGTACCACCAGGTGGAGGTAGAGCAGAGCAAATAGCCACTGGCCAGCGGTAGATTCAGTTTGGGGTCCTGTTGGTCTGCAAGGCCTGTCGCTTGTCACCCATCCCAACCTGCAGAAAAGCTAGGCCCCTGCCCAGCCCACCCGATACCTCCTTCTCTTCAAGGAGGCCAGCTGGGTCCCAGGAGGAGTTAGGAACTGGAGTGTGCAGATGGTACCTGGATGTTAGGAGGTAAAACTCGGAGAAACACCAAAGGCGGGGGGTCCAGGGGACCATTTAGGTAGCCCTCGGAAAAAAGGCATTTGGGACTTGGGTCTCTGGGGGAATAACTCAGCCTTTCCTGGCCCTCCTCAAATCACAGCATAAAAGCCCAGAAATTACTCCCAACCCAACCCAGCAGGGGAGTAGAGGCCCCACAGGGTGGGGACTGGTCAGCCCAGAAGGCTGACTGTTTTAATGAAGTTGGAAGGCAGTGCTCTTGCCAGGCCCTTCTGTTAGCAGAGGCCAGGGAGGAAGACTATGGTGATAAGGACAGAGCTTATGGATCAGACATGTGACCCAACAGAATTTCTCTAGAACCCAGGCTCCGGAAGAATTTCAGAGTCATGTTCAGCCCCATGTGGAGGATTATAGGGCAGGAGGGACCGCAGGTGGATGCAGAGCAGCCAAGCAGAGCCATGGGCCAGGTGGGAGAGGCAGTGGGGTCATGTTCCTTCCTGCCGAGAGCCTCCTGGGCTGATGGGACTGTTCTGGACAGGGAGTCCCAGCCTGTCCTGAATCAGAGCAGCAGAGCCTCGGGACTCGGGCCGCTGTCCAGGGCGTCCCTGCCAGCTGGGCTGCTTCCGCATTCAGTTCAGCTCTGCTGAGCGGCTGAGCAGGGCCTCGGGAGCCCAGAAAAGAGCCCACAAAGGCAGCCCAGGCCTTCCTGCCTAGTGTCACCAGTATCACAACTGTTACCTTTCTGTAGAGGATTTATGCTCTTCATGCACTTTCCCAGAGAGCACTTCATGCACTGCTCTGGCAGACAATTGCTGAAAAGGTAGTGTAAAGTGCTAGTTAAGTGTTCTGGCTTTGAATTCAAATAGACCTGAATAAAAATGCTGGCTGCTGAGCTTACTAGTTCTGGGGCCTCCTTTAACCTCTCTGAATTTGTTTTCTCCTCTGTAAAATGGAGATGGTAGCACTTATACCTGTAAGGTTGCTGTGAGGATAACATGAAGTGCTGCCTGTGAAGGGCCCAGCAGGAAGCCTGCCGTGGTTGTTGGGATTCAGTGCCTCTCTCAGCTCTAGCTGCACGCGGGGCAGCACTGCCTCTACGGGCTGACTCCCAGACCTTTGCGGCCTGCCCAGATGGCATCTAGACCAGGTTATGTTTTGCAAAGACCAAGGAAACAGGGCCTGTGACCACAGTAGCACTTTGAAGCTTCTCCTTTTTCCACTGACAGCTCCTTCACTCCCCAAGAGTTAAAGTGTGTACATCTGTACACTGCCATGTAAAAGAACACACATGCCTGCACATGCAAGCACAGGCACACAAGCCTGTCCTTACACACCTGCACACATGAGCAAACCACAAGCACGTGCTCACACCTGCACGCACATCGCTGCCTCCTTGCCTGGGCACCCTATCACTGTGTCATGGCACATGTGCAGGATGAAGAATTTGCATATTTTCTCATAAGGCTGACCCTACTGGGAGTCTGGCATCAGGTTGCCATGGTTACTAGTCAGTATACACATTTGTGGCTGATAGGACCTCCCTGTGACTTAGTGGTGCCACCCCATCCTGGCTGAGTGGCAGCCCATGAACATAATGTGTGGGAAACTATTGACTTAGCTGAGGCAGACACAGCCATAGGCCCCTCAGAATCCAACCCATGCTTCTCTCCGAGAAGGCTGCCTACCTGGTGACTGGCCAAGCCCTCAGTGACCTTGCCAATCATGCCAGCCACCACTGGCCTTTGACTCAAAGAGTCAGTAAGCCAGTCAGGGGCCCCAAAAGCTACTGCTGTTGCTACTATTTGGTTCCCAGAGGAATGGTGCAAAAGAAAACTCTTAAGGCTTTGGGATCCCTGCTCCCTTCTCCAGATGCTCACTGCCCTCAAGCCTTCCCAGAGATTCAATGAGCAGGAATAGCCATGGCTTGGCCCCAGCAGACCAGAGACCTGGCCTCCAGCCTCCCTTCTGCCTCCTAATTTGCTAGGTGACCCTGGGAAAGTGTGCTGGCACCACTGGGCCCCAGATGCCTCATCTAATACAACCACCTTGTCCAAAAGTGGGGCACAGCCCAGCTCTATGGACCTAGTCCCCTTAGTGTCCCAGGTGCTGTGGTCAAGCCGGGCTGTACTCTCTCAGGGAAGCATGGCTGGATATCCAAACCATGTGAGCTCCCTACAGCTGCCTGAAGGGTCCCTGGGCCACAGGATTACTCAGTAAGAACTTCCCTAGGCCCTTTGAGAATTATAGAGTGTGTACTGTCTGCTCAGCACAGCTTGCCACCCCCGTGAGAGCCTGGAACAGAATGGACAGACTGTTATCATGGCAACTTTTTCCTACCTCTGAGAAGTCAGAGTAAAACTGAAAAGCAACCAAAAATTCCAGATCACTTGGGCTTAACAGGAATGCAAGAAGGGCTTGTGTTTGGAAAGGCTGGGATTCATGCTTCATTCGTGTGGTCTCTGCATGGAACTGGGGGTCAGAGCCTCAGGATCTTCCTCAGGGCTCTTTCAGTCAGAGCCATTTTAGTCCCTGGCTCAGAGTACCCTGCTCTCATGCCCTTTTCCAAACGGAGAACCCTCTGGAATCCCTATTAGGAAGCAGATGAGAGATCTAGGGGTGGATAATGCACAGGACTTCCTGCTGACTGCCCCATGCTCTCCTCCTCCTGTGGCAGATGAGAGTATCAGGCACAGTTTCACAGGCTCTATGGATGTCAAGGAGCTGATGGTGCAGACAGGGAAGCCAGAGAGTGAGCAGGTCCAGGCTGGGCGGGAGCGGGGTGCTGGCACACGGACTGAGCTCATGCTGTCCCAGCCCACCACATCTTCCTATAGCTGCGTACGGGCTCAGAGGACAGATGGGGAAACAGAAACTATGACATACTCACATCCACGTAGCAAATTAGGGACTAAACTGAGATTCAAGGCCTGCAGACAGGTGCTGGCTGCTACATTAGAATGGTAAGTGAGCTTTTTAAAAACACAGTTGAGATTTCTGAGTCCCCCCCCCCATACACACCAGAACCCGATTCTATTGGTCTGGATGATTCGGAACCTCAACCAGGTTTGCAAAGCTCCCAGGATCCCGTGAGCAGGACTGATCCCTGTTCAACACACAAGAGACGGAGACCTCTCTAGGTTGGGTCACACAGCAGGTCAGGAGCAGAACCGACCCTTGAGTCAGAGCCCTTTTATCTCACCCCTCAATGGCATTGGTGTCTACCTTGCAGGGCCCTGAAGTCATATATTCAAAACATGATCCCATTTCCAAGACTGTAATTTGCCCAGCGCTGGAGGAGTTCAGGTGTTCCACAGGTGAACCCACCCGCCTGTTTCTCTGAGTTCCAGCTTACTATGCTAAGTGGTGAAATCTATGGCCCAGCCTTGGAGCCTTCTAGGGTGTTAAGTGGAGAAGTGACCTGCTGCCTAGAGCCTCCTCCTGTCCCTGCTCCTGCTCCCCCACAGGCTCTGAGGCTCCCTGCCCAGGCTCCAGGTAGATGGGCAGGCCAGCAAGGCCTGTGGGGCAGGGCAAGGACACGGGGCTGCTCTGGGGACCTCATGCCCTCATTCTGAATAGAAAAAAGGGCCCCATGAGTGAGCTAGGGGCCGGGCACACTGTCTGCAGGGGGGGCGCTGCAGGCCTGGTGCTGACACTGGGAGAAAGAGAAGGGGCTCTCAGACCCCCGACCCCACCCCCCCTTTCCTCCTGGGGGACATTTGCCGACTGACTCTTGCGCCTGTGCCTCCCCACCAGGTACTAACCCCACAGCTCATCTCTAAAGAAACCCCCCTGCCTGCTGACTCTAACATTTCCTCTCTCTACCCTTCTCGGGGCTCTTGGGGACTGGGTGCCAGGGATGGACCTCAGGAGGCTGGGAGGGGACACTACTAACCTGCTTTCACCTCACAGGCTGGCTGCTGGTGTCTGAGGAGTCCTGACCAACGTTTCTGTCTCTCTCTCCCCCGCCCCTCCCATTTCTCTCTACCTGTACCTCTGCCTCCACCCCTTCCCTCTCTGCCCCTCCTCTCTTCTGCACTGCCAGAGCACCTGGGATTTGAACTGAAGGGTACGGAACCTCTGTGTGTCACTCAGCACCATCTGCACAGCCCCTCTCCACAGCCTCTGACACCACGTGTGCCGAATGTTTGGTTTCCTTTCCAAAAAATGGAAAAGCAGTGGTTCCAAAACTTTCCCCTGGCCCCATCAAGATGTCCTACCACAAACTATGTTGATTTAGGGTAGACAAGAGAAGCTCGTGAACAGCAGGGTAGCCCAGGGTCACACTGTGGCCCCAGTTTACAGTGGCACCCCCTTGCACAGGGGACATCTATCGCCAGGAGGCCTCAGAGGGCAGGGCCCCTCCTGAACTGTGTGCAGCCAGCAGGCAGCCAGACAGGAGACGGCCCCACGTGTGAACATGGTCCCGCAGCGGGCCAGTGTCCGGAAACCACAGAAGCCTGGTTCGGAGCGTTGTGCAGAGAGGCGTCCCTTTCCATCTGAATTCAGTCCTCCTTCCTTCTCCCATGTCCATTCCCATCGCTTTTCATTCTGCACCAGGCTCGTAGCTGGTAATTCCCTGTCTGTGTCTGCCCCTGCCCTGTGTCTGTCTGCCAGGCTTTGCCATCTGCTTGAGGCTGTCACTCCCTCCATGATCTGTCCCCACGATGGCACGTGTGCATCTGTGGACAAGACCAGCAAGGGTCTGGGTTGGGCTGGCCTCTGGTGCCTGCCCCTAGTGCCCCAGCTCAGAATCTTACACATGCCTCCCCCGCCACCTGCTGCTACTGCTATCCGGCCCCTGGAAGACTTCTTGGGCTGGAAAGGAGTTGGAGGCGTTGGTGTTTCCAGCTGTCTGTGCTGAGAGGCTCCTCCCTGGCCTCGAGTGTCCAGACGTATCACAACAGGAGAGACGCAGGGGCTCAGAGGGCAGAAGCTTTTGTGGGGCGAGATCTCAAACGTGGTGCAGAGCCTGCGGTTATGCAAAGGCTGTTCTCATGGCTGGTTTAGGGAGGCCTCAGTTCCCCACCACCTAGCTCCCATCTGCTGTGCTCAGTGGAATACAGAGCTCAGAGTCTGTGCATAAGAGTATATCTGCCCATATCTGCCGACCGTGGCAGGATGGAGAGGACAGGCGTTGAGTCTGTGTGGGGTCTGTGATCGTGGCAGGGCATGCAGGGGTGAATCTGCAGGTATGTGTGTATGTGTATATGTTGTTGGGGGGTGAATATGTGTACCCCTGTGAGGTGTCTCATGGCAGGATGTGAGTGCTTGGTGGGGACATCTTTGTGTTAAGCATTGTGCATTGCGCAGGTGGAACTGTGTGTGCTCGTGAGTTGAGTGTGTGATGTGTGTAGGTCTGTAAAGGTGGTCTATATATTCACTCGCCAAAGCAACAAACATCTGCTCAACACCAGATTTTACCAGACACAGAGTCCCTACCCTCTTGACACTCACGTTCATGGGTATGACAGAGAACAAACAAACAGGCAAGATGTCAGGTGGTCATAAGTGTGGTATGGAAAGTAAAATGAGGTAGTAGGATAGTGCCAGCTGGAGTGGGGAGCTACTGTAGCTGAGTAGTCTTGGAAGGGCTGTATGAGGAGGTGATATTTGTCACCTGTGTCTGTCTGCAGCTACCCCTGCAAATGACCAGGGAGACTCTGAAAACAGGGGCCCTGCCAGCATGGGGACCACGTGGTAGGAGTGAGATTGCCCTATTCCATGGGACAGAAAGACTGCCAGCCACTCCAGAGCACAGTGGACATGGGAGAGAGGACCACAGATGAAATACAAAAGGAAGGCTGGAACCAGATGATCTGGGGCTTCAGAGGCCATGGCAAGGCTTTAGGTTGTATTTGAATTGCAGTGGGAAGCCATTGTGTGTTTCTAAGCAGGGGAGTAAGATGATCTACTTTGTGGCTATAAATAAATGTAGCTTTGAGTAGACAGTAGCCTGGGGTTGGGGGCAAGGTAGAGAGGAATGGAAGCAGAAAGACCCATCAGAAGGTGACCATCTCCAGCTGAGAGGTGACATCATCCCGGACTGAGTTGGAAGCCATGGAAATGGTAAGACGTGGTCAGATCCAGCGTCTACTTGGAAGGTGAAGCTGAGAGGACTTGCAATGGATCAGGTAGGGACAGTGGGAAGAAAAGGAGTAATCAAGAATGATTCCAAGATCTGGGGCCTGAGTAGCAGGGAAAGTGGCGTTGTGCTCTTGACCTGGGAAGAGTAGGGGAGTGGTTAGGAGAGAGGATAGGGAAAAGTGCTGCTGTTTGGCCATGACCCTTGGACACAGGACTCTGGAGCACAGGTAGAAGTCAGGGCAGGAGATACAAATCGGAGAGTCTGCATAGAGAGGGATGTAAAGTCTGAGTCTGAATGAGATCACTAAGGGAGAGAGGGCAGGTGGAGAAAAGCAAGAAGCCTGAGCTCAGCCAGTGAAGTAGGAGGAAGCCCAGGAGAGAAGGGACGTTCCAAAGCTCAGGGGAGTGGGCCCCAGAAGGAGGGGCCAGCCGAGAGGTAAGCAGGTGGTCAGAGGACTTGGTGGCATGGGGTTGTTGGTGACCATGACAAGAGCGATCTCAGAGGAGTGGTGGAGATGGATGCCTGCCTGGACTGGATGGGGCATGTGTATGGGGCATGAGAACTGGAGCCAGGGCTGCAGGCATCGAGCCAGGAGCTGGGGACCTGGGGCAAAGGTCTAGTTGTCCAAGACCCCACCCGACTGTGTCAGTGGGCCTGAGCATGTGTGTGCATGATTGTGTCTTTGTGAGGGGTCTGTCTGTGGATCAGACAGGCGTGGTTATAAATGCAGGTGTGTCTGGAGGGTCTGTACGCTTGGGCATTTGCTAGTGTGCACACCTTTGCCACAGGAGATGCTGCAAGCCCGAGAGGTTAGGGACATTTCCCAGGGTTCCACCAAGGCATCAGGGTGCAGCCTCTGCTCATCCCTGAGTTGGGAGGAGGGGCAGCCAGCAGATGCAGATGGGGCAGGGGTGGGTCCCTGGGCTATAGCCTTGACTATGGCTAGTTCTGTCACCTTTTTCCTTTTCTTCCTCCTGGCTTTCTCGGTTCAGGAAGGTAGAGGTTGTCCCACCAAGCAGTGGAGCATAGAAAGGGTAGTCAGGCTTTTTTGAGAGCTTTGAGGTCCAGCCCAGCTCAGCTCCTCAGAAAGGGTGGGAGCTGTCCCTTGCCACAAAGACTGCCCTAGACTCCAGGGGTCTGTGCTGCCACTAGAGGGCTTCTCACAAGTAGAGATGGGAGGGCTGGAATGGGCCAGGGCCACACCCTGACCAGGCCACAGGAATAAACAAAGGCCTTTCCTCCCACACCCCTACCATGGGCCTGGCCTGCTCTGTCTCGCTCCTGGCCCTGGGTCTGATGTGCTGTCACCAGCCGAAAACAAGCCACTCTCCACCTTCTTAGAGAAGCTGAGGTGACTGAGCCAGGCCTTTGCCCAGGGGCTACATGTTCACTGCCATGAAGAACAACTACCCTTGGCCAGCTAAGGTTCTTTGCAGCTGCCAGGCCACAGTGGAGCAGGGCAGGGTTGCTAGCCGGGCTGGGCACCCCCCTGCTCTACCGCCTCGGGAGCCTCCCCTCCCCTCCATCCCCTCCCGTGCTTCTCCCACTCATGTGCTCTGGGCAGGCATGGGGCTTGGGCAGGTAAATGCAAGGGGACCTGTGTGTGACCAGATCCATGGGGGTTGGGAATTGGTGGGGCTGCGGAAGGCAATCCAGAGCATGTGGGATGAGGAACGGGCTGGGGAGGAAAGGGATGGACAGGAGCTGGGCACAACCCAGGCTGGAGGGAGGCTAAGGCTTTGGGGGCAGGGGGGGTCTCTGCACCACTGTCCCCATGGGGTCTGCCTCCGGCCTTGGCCCTCATGTCAGCCCTGCCTCTGCAGAAGCTGAGGAGCTGTACCAGAAGAGGGTCCTGACCATCACCGGCATCTGTGTGGCTCTGCTGGTCGTGGGCATCGTCTGCGTGGTGGCCTACTGCAAGACCAAGTGAGTGTCAGGCGCTCAGGCTGGGGCCAGGCCACGCCAAGGGATGGGCCTTCAAGACTGGTTTTGTGAGCACAGGCTCTTCTCCCCTACCCCCCTGTGCCTGGCCTTGGCCCCCCACACCTTCCTGTGCCCTGACTGTCCTGCAGGGGCTTCTGCAACTGGGGGTGGGGACAAAGGGCTGGGCCAGGGAGCAGGAGCAAAGGTGGTGAGACAGGCCCAGAGGACTGAACAAAGGTTGGCCATGAGCACAGACTTTGGGAGAAGACAAATCTGGGCTCAAATCCAGCTCTGCCATTTCCCACATGACCTTGAGCACTCTGAGGAACCTCTCTGAGTCCTCACGGGAGTGACCCTAATACACACCTCAGAGGAGACTGTGAGGACCTGAGCAGGAGCACGTGCCCTGTCCAGCAAGCAGGCTCGGGGGCAGTGCTGGGCATGGCTGGGGGTGGGGCTGGGGAGCACAGAGAAGCCTCCATTCCCAGGAAAGACAGACCCCTCAAAAGGCACTGCCTGACCCACCCTGGGACCAGTTGAGACAAGAGGACAGAGCAGGTGTCTGGGCAGGGGAGAGGTGGGGGCAGAACCTCAGTACAAGGTGACTACATGGGCAGAAGGGAGCTGGGCAGTTCAGGTAGAATAGAGCAAGCTCAAGACCGCACAGGTGAAGGTCAGCTGTGAAGGTGAAGGTGTCCCCAGGCCATAAGCAGCCCAGACTGAGGGCTGGGGCCAGAAAGAAAGGGGACATGAGTCTTAAAAGATAGCTGGGAACCAGAGGGCAGCATGGGCCTTGAATGCCAAGCTAGGGAGTCTGGGTTTATCCTGCAGACAATGGGGAGTGAATAAAGGTTGTAGAGTGATGTCATGCAGAAAAGTGATAGGTTTGTCATATTTGTTCTTATCTGGAGAGCAAAGATCTGGACGTAGCCACCATTTCAGGGACTGAGTCTCTGGTCTTGACTCTTGCTAGCCCCATCTGTGGGATCTAAGGCCCTGCTGGCCTTGTCTCAGATACGTGCAGGACCAGAAAGGCTGGAGGCAGGTAACGAGAGAGCTGGGACTCAGGGAGCCCAGAAGGGGAGACAGGGCCAAAGAGGGAAAATTGAGTCCAAGAATTGGAAAAAAAGCAAGCCCCCATTGTGACCCCCACTGTATTTACTCATTTCTTCAACAAACATTCATTCAATGCCTGCCGGACACCAGGCCCTGCCCCAGGCACAGAGCCCGTGCTCTGAGCAAGCAGTCCGGTGTCATGGGACACATTTTAGAAGCAACTAACCTAGGCTGGAGGGCAGGAGGGGTTTCCCTGAGGAAGCAGCATTTAGCCTGGGGTCTGCAGGTTGAGCAGGACTTAGCAAGTGAGGGGAAGAGAAAGTAGTCTAGGCGAAGGGACGAGCGTATGCAAAGGCCCAAGAGCAGAGAGGGCAGACCACAGTGCAGGACCAGAGCGAAGCTCGCCAAGGCTGCAGCAAGCTGGGGGAGGGGAGGGCAGCAAGAAAGGGCAGGGAGGGAAACGGGACTCTGAGGGCCAATGAAGGGTTTTAAACAGGGGAATGATGTGATTAGATTTGTTGATTATAAAACAAATCAACTGAGCATTTAATAAGTGCCAATGTAAAGTAGTCCCACAGGCCCTGACTCCCTAACCAGAGCACCCTGTTTTTTATTCTTCATAGCATTTTGCTGGAAGTATCTAGTTCATTTTTTTGTTTTTATGTTTATCATTTGCCTCCCCTACTGGCCCACAGGGTAAGGACAGGAGTCCTGCCTGTCTTCTCTGCTCCAAAACAGTGTCTGGAACAAAATAAAAACTCAGTAAATACGGAATGAATGAATGAGGGAGAGAGTCAGCACTGTGCTCAAATATTTTATATACTTTTAGCCCTCAACAGTCTTTGGGAGGGGTAAACGATCCCCCTGTTGTACAGATGAGAAAGTGAAGCGTGGAAAGCGTAACAGCCCAGGGTTGCACAGCTGGGAAGCAGTAGACTTCTACTCCCTGGGCAGGGCCATAGCTCATTACCACCATGACACTTAGGTCCTGGACTCAGGGTGGTGGCAATGGGGTAGGGACAGCTTGAGCACAGGGAAGAGCAGTAGCCACAGCAGGCCAGGGCAGAGGGAAGAGTAGCTTTCCTGGAGGGCAGCCAGGCGAGTTCATCTATGGGAGGGGGGAGCACGCCAGGTTCACCCACTCTTCCCTGTGCAGAAAACAGCGGAAGCAGATGCACAACCACCTCCGGCAGAACATGTGCCCAGCCCACCAGAACCGGAGCTTGGCCAATGGACCCAGCCACCCCCGGCTGGACCCCGAGGAGATCCAGATGGCAGACGTGAGTGGCATTCCCGGGCCCCCTTCTGAGCTCTCAGCGGACAACCAGCATTCTCGTGCCACCTGCGAGGATGGGCCAGGGCAGCAGCCAGCACATCCTGTGACCAGCCTTGCCAGTCTGTCATTGCCTCACAGGATGGCTGACGTCACTCTGCCCACTTCCATACCGAAGGAGGAGGGCTGATTTGCTGGGGCCCTGACTGCCCCAACATCAAGTCACTTCTCATCCAGTGGACACCCGCAACCTGGAGCTTAGTGCTTGTCACTTTCCTATTCCCACCAGGAAAGAGGGTTGATCTGGTCTCTCGTCACTAACCCCTACCCAACTCTGTCTGTTACAGTATATCTCCAAGAACGTTCCAGCCACAGATCATGTCATCAGGAGGGAAACCGAGACCACCTTCTCTGGGAGCCACTCCTGTTCTCCTTCTCACCACTGCTCCACAGCCACGCCCACCTCCAGCCACAGGTGGGCACCACCAAAGCCCACAGAAACTTGTAGACACCCCAACTTTATCTGGTGTGACATGCCTAGCCATTCAAACATCCACAGCCATTCAGACCCGCTTCTGGGTTTGCCACATGAATCATAATCCACCCTACCCTTCTCTCCAGGACCAGGGAGGCCTGTCCACACAGCACAAAGGCCACACAGCTCAGGAAGTAACATGGTTGGCTCCTTTCCTCCCCGGGGAGCACCACGGAATAGTCAGGGCCACCACTTGGAGGCCACTGGGGCTGGGCTCCTGAGATAGGGGGCAAAGGACCATGGGGGTAGAAGGGTCCCAGACAGGTGCCCCAGGCAAGGCTGGGGGAGGCTGGTTGCAGGAAGGAAAGGAAGGGGTCTCTGCCCGTTACAGCTCACTCATGCACAGAGCCCTAGCCCTCCCTCTCCCAATATTGGGGTGCAGTACCCCACATCAGCCCAGAGTGGAGAAGGACAGTGAACTGAGGGAGCTTGAGACGGGATGAAGAGCTAGGGAGGGAATGGCCGTGGGACCACACCTGCTGGGCCACCCTGCCCCTCTCTGATCCCTCGCTTCGCCCCCATCTGGCTTTCCCAGACATGAGAGCCACACATGGAGCCTGGAACGTTCTGAGAGCCTGACCTCCGACTCGCAGTCGGGCATCGTGCTGTCCTCGGTGGGCACCAGCAAGTGCAACAGCCCCGCGTGTGTGGAGGCCCGCGCCCGGCGGGCGGCAGCCTACAGCCTGGAGGAGCGGCGCAGGGCGGCCATGCCACCCTACCACGACTCTGTAGACTCCCTGCACGACTCCCCACACAGCGAGAGGTCAGTTCCTCCCCCTAACCTTGGAGGGCATCACTGACCCAAGGCTGACCCTTAGGGCCCCCCATACACACTCCAAAGAGCCTCATCTCTATTTCTTAGATAGGAAAACAAGGTCCCAGAAAGGTTAAATGGCCTACTCAGGGCCATCAGAATGTTAATGACAGGCTGGGAGAAGAGCTGGGCCAGTGGACCCTGGTGTAGAGTGACCACCAAATTTAATTGTCCTAGTAGGATACTTTTCAGAGTAGAAGGGGACATTATCAATAATTTCACTGGAACATCAGGAACAAATGGGGGCTGTTCATACAACCGGGATAAATGGCTGCCCTGTCCTAGCATCAGCTAGAGGCTCCATGTCCCAGCAGGAACAGAAAGACACAGGACTGAGCAGATTAGCAAGCGTGAGGGGAGGTTGTCTCTGAGGAGACTGGCCAGTGCAGATGGACGTGAGTGAAGAATGATCGCAGGCCCCGGCAGTATCAGCAATGAAGCCCCAAGGGTCAGGGCATTGTTGGGCTCCTGAGCGATGGATGCAGTAAGAACCAGGACACCCCCTTCTTCCCTGACTCCAAGCCAGGAATCACAAGGGCCAGCCCCGCACCCTGCTCAGCGCTTGAGTGGCCCTCAGCAAGCAGGGTCTGTGAGGACAGCAGTGGAAGGTGTGTGGTGCCAGGAACTCCAGAGTGGGGAGTTCAGAGGGGAGCAGATTTCTCCTACTGTCAATGCAGCCTCCTCCATGCCAGGCCCTGTGCTGGGCAGGCCTGCCAGAGCATCCAGATGTGGCCCACCTGGTCCCTCTCCAGAGGAGCTCCTGGCCGTGGAGACAAGCCATGGAAGCTCACAAACACCTGTGGAAAGCACAGGATGCCACAGCAGGGCAGAGAAACCCAGCCCGACTGCGGGCTCTGGGAAGCAGCCAGGTTTCCAAGTCCGACCTTTCCAAGCCCAGCTCCACCACCTACCTGTGTGATCTGCAGCAAGTTGACCACCTCTGTACCCTGTTCCCTCAGCTGTACAACAGGGAGAGCGATGCCCATTATGCATGGTTCAGGTGAAGGCCACCTGAGATAACCTGCACAAAGCTCTTTGCCTTGTAAGTGGCTAAGAGCTGGGGCTCACTAGGTGTAGCTGTTGTTATCAGTAGTAACCATGGCAGCAGGACTCCTAAATGGTTGGTAGGAATGTGAGAGGCAGAGGAAGGGGAAGAAAAGTATTCCAGACAGACACGGGGAACAACACGAGCTGTTCCAACAGAGGCACGTAAGAGCATGGGTGGGGAGCAAGGTGCCTGGAGCAGGGTGGGCTGTGAGAGCAGTGGAGCTGGGCAGGCTGGGGCTGGACAGACCCATGGACAGGGCCCTGGGCTTCTGCTCAGGTGGTGCCTGGGTGTACGAGCAGCAGGGGCCGCCTTAAGCAGAGCTGAGACTTGAAGATTGCACTGGGAACAGCATAGAGGGCAGGGAAGCCTGTGGGGTGGAGCGTGACCAGAGTGAGCAGCAGGGCCCAGGGTGGGGTGGAGGGTGTGCTCCAGGATGAGGGAATGGGTAGGACTCGCTGGTTAATTAGGTGCACAGGTGGGAGAGGGAACAGAGGGAGTCAGGTGACTCAGAAAGAACTGAGAGAATGGGGACTCTGGGCTGGTCCAAGAGCAGTGAGGTACCCCGCTATGGGGTCTGGGAGAGAGGCATGGAGGTGGGTGGTCCCTGCCCTGAGGTGGACAGTGGTGGGGCAACAGACCAATGGGCTAACAGGTGTGTGGAGAACAGGAAGGGACAGGTACCCGGAACCCAGACTGGGAGATACCAGCAAGGGCAAGCTTGGGAAGGAACTGGGGTCTTGAGCGGCAAGCAGAGACACCTCTATGGAGTCTTATCTGTCAGCCCTGGGCTCATGGCCCTGCAGGGGTACGAGCAGTCACTTCCCTGGGGCAGCTTTCAACTTCACTATAAGAAGGAATATTTCCCTCACTGAAGCCGTCAGGCCATGGGATGAATTGTCCCCGCAGGAGCAGTGAATCTAGGTCACAGGGGTATCAGAACGGGATAGTGGCTTCTGGGACTGGGCAGTGTGAGGCCTGGTTCCTGCCCAGCTTCCATTCAAATCCCAGCTCTGCCTCTCCCTGGCTGTGTAAACCTTGAGTAAGTCACTTCAATGTCCTGGTTTCCTGTGTGTGGTGTGGGACCGGCGTAAAGGTCTGAGACAATTGCTATATTAAATGAGATCGTACATGTGCCTGAGCTCCACTCACCACTCAAGGATTACCACAGCAACAAGCAGTCCTGGAGGCTTACAACGAGTCAGGCCCTGGGCTACGACATCCATCCCCCGATACATTTTTGGAATCATCCCAACAACGCTATGGAATGAACACTACAGTTATGCCAGCTTAACAGATTAGGAAACTGAGGCTCAGAGAGGTTAAGGAAATTGCATAAGGTCACTGGGGATCGCCACAGTCATTCCTGCAGGCGGGATCCCGGCAAGGTGACTGCGGGCCTGGCCCACCCCTGGCACCCCCACCCCTCCCCCGGCCCACGCCTCTGCCTCTGCCCGCAGGTACGTGTCGGCCCTGACCACGCCCGCGCGCCTCTCGCCCGTGGACTTCCACTACTCGCTGGCCACGCAGGTGCCGACTTTTGAGATCACATCGCCCAACTCGGCGCACGCCGTGTCGCTGCCACCCGCCGCGCCCATCAGCTACCGCCTGGCGGAGCAGCAGCCGCTGCTGCGGCACCCGGCGCCCCCCGGGCCCGGGCCCGGGCCGGGCGCGGACATGCAGCGCAGCTACGACAGCTACTACTACCCGGCGGCGGGCCCGGGGCCGCGGCGCGGGGCCTGCGCGCTGGGCGGCAGCCTGGGCAGCCTGCCCGCCAGCCCCTTCCGCATCCCGGAGGACGACGAGTACGAGACCACGCAGGAGTGCGCGCCCCCGCCGCCGCCGCGGCCGCGTGCGCGCGGCGCGTCCCGCAGGACGTCGGCGGGGCCCCGGCGCTGGCGCCGCTCGCGCCTCAACGGGCTGGCGGCGCAGCGCGCACGCGCGGCGCGGGACTCGCTGTCGCTGAGCTCGGGCTCGGGCGGCGGCTCGGCTTCGGCCTCGGACGACGACGCGGACGACGCGGACGGGGCGCTGGCGGCCGAGAGCACGCCCTTCCTCGGCCTGCGCGCGGCGCACGACGCGCTGCGCTCGGACTCGCCGCCGCTGTGCCCGGCGGCCGACAGCAGGACTTACTACTCCCTGGACAGCCACAGCACGCGCGCCAGCAGCAGACACAGCCGCGGGCCGCCCGCGCGCGCCGCGCAGGACTCGGCGCCCCTCTAGGGCCCCGCCGCCGCCGCCACTGTCCGAGGAGGACACACCGCCGACTGCAGAAAGGAGGAGAAAAAGAAATAAAAATATTTTTATTTTCTATAAAAGGAAAAAAGTATAACAAAATGTTTTATTTTCATTTTAGCAAAAATTGTCTTATAATACTAGCTAACGGCAAAGACGTTTTTATAGGGAAACTATTTATATGTAACATCCTGATTTACAGCTTCGGAAAAAAAAAGAAACAACAAAAAAAAGAGAGATGGGCCAATTTTTTGACTCTTTAATAGAAACCTATTTTGTGGTGCCTTTTGCTGTACGCTATCCTGGGGCTCCTGGAGAAAAGTCTGGGTGGCGATGGGGGGCGGTAGGATCCGGAGCTGGCGGGGCTGAGAGAGCAGGGAAAGGAGAGGCTGCGGGGCTCTGGTGGGGCCAGGGGTGAGGTTGGCCCTGAGGAAGAAAGTGAGGACAGAAGTAGCTTTATTTACCCCCCGGGCAAAATCTGGAAGTTCTGGGCCCCTTGGGAGGACAGGGCGGGATCCTAGGCTTAGCTGGGGTACCTTCCAGGGGGAAGACGAAGGTCCAGCGACAGCTACCAGAATGGGGAGAGGGCCTCCCACTACTCACAGCTCTTAAGAGAGGGGGAACAGAGACAGGTCTCCCCAACAGCGTGGGCCCAGGGAGGGGGCAGCCCTGCCAGGGGCCCAATGTTCGTGGCTCCTCCTCCCCTACGGCCTCCAGGACGCCCCTCTGTCCTCTGCAGCACCTTCGTTTACAGGTCGTCTTTTCTATTTTACGCCTGCATGTCCTTTGCATTTCAGATTCTTTAGATTGGATGCATGGTCACGCTGGGACCGAGAAGAGCCACTGGACAGTGTATTCGATTCCCCTTTTAGCAATAAAGTAACACCATTTCCTTCTCACAGCCCGCCTCCCAGCCCCAGCCCACCGGTGACTTCCACTCCCACTCGTCCTGCCCTCCCCACCCCTGAAAACTGGGTCCACTGCTAATTTGTCAAAAAGGTAATTGTTTAAAAGAATCCCAAACAGAAACAAATGGGAACCCTGCCCTGAAATGTCCCAACACCTGACTGTTGACACTTGAACATTTTTATATTATAAATAAAATCAGAAATAACTCCTGTTTGACTGTGTGTGCCTAGCCCCCAGGCCAGGAGGGAGGTCAAGGATGAGGACCCGTGGTGGAGGCGGATGGATGTTGGCGGGGAGGTTGGTGAGGGCCAGGGCAGTCCCTGGGGGGAAGTGACCAATCTCCCTGGCCCCAGCTCCTAGGACAGCCCTCCTCCCTCTTCCAAGAACATTTACCAGGTGTCGCCTCTGGCTCTGGGGAACCTGGCCAAGGGACTGACGCATGTTACTCTGCTACAGACTCAGCCTCAGAACTCTGGCCCAGTTCCTGCTCCGGATCCACCAGGCCGGACTGAGCAAGAGTTGCCAGGCACAGGTGGGCGAGGAGAGCAGGGTTGTGCAGTTGGCACTGGGGCAGCCGGAGCAAGATGACCCCTGGGGCCTCAGGCACGTCACAGGCAAAGTCTGGACATGCAAGGTGGCATGATGGGTACCCTTGACTGCCAGGAGGACCACAGCTGTGCAGCTCAGAAGCCCACAGGGTGTTGCTTTTTCCCCAATTTTATAAACCCTCAGAGCCTGGGCCTGTCCAAACCCGCAGCCCCTGGTGCAGAGTACCTGGCTTCGTATGGAAAAGGCAGATGGAGGTCCAGGCTTAAGCAGCCTTTCTCCTCACCAACCAGTTTATTAGACCAGTGCCCAGCAGTAGGAGCCATCCAGTTCCAACCAGACACCAGGACGTCTTCAAAGAGCCGAGGTGGTCGGTGTGCATGTGCGTAGCTCTGTGTGTGTGTGTGGGGGGGGGGGTTATGTCCCTAGGACGTGTGTAGTCAGAGACCTGCAGATGGGAAGGACAGAGCGGCTTGTGGTTGAGGGCTCAGGCATCCACAGGCCTGAGTTGGACTCCAGCTTGCCCCTCACTAGCTCTGTGACTTCTCTAGGCCGCAGTTTCCTCGCTGTGAAATGGTGCGGCAGATCCCTAGTTCGGAGGGTTGCTGTGCAGGTTATATGTATGAAGGGCCCCGTACTGCCTCTGGCACGTGATAGATGCCTACTAAATGGCTCATTTCATGGTGGTGATGACAATATCCTGTGCTTCACATCCTTGAATCACACAGCCAGAGAGTGGCAGAAACTGGGTTGGGGGGTGGGGGTGATGGAGAAAAGTAGAGAAAGAACTGAAGTCATTGTATTCATTGTTGTGGGGCTGGAAAGAAAAGTACCTGTTACAAAGGAACAAAGGCAAATAAGGACTAAATGCTGCATAAACCTGCAAATCACTGACTCCTCCTAGCCCCCATCGATGTCTGTGCTGCCTCTGAGTTTATGCTTGGCTTTAAAATTGTCTGAGAGCCAGTAATTCTTCTGTATAACCTCTGACCTCTATGGGATCCCAAATTAACTCCATATGACCTCTTGGTGAATCCATTGACCTTTGTATGAACCAGCTTAGTGTCCTCATTTGACCCTTCCAAGGGCTCCGTGTCACTGCTGCCTTCTAAATTTGAGAGTCAGAAACTACTCCCATGACTCAAATGAACCCACGGATCTCTATGTGACCCTCAGTTCATTCTGAATGACCTCTTGGTGAGCTCATTGACTTTCACATGACCTATTTGATAGGTCATTGTCTGCTCTGGATTCTAAGATGCCTGCCACACCTGCCAACAGTCTAAGGCCAGAACCTAGTACAGCTCCTGGTTCTTTCCTCGTCATGCCGTCCTGGCATTTGCTTCACAGGTGTGGCTGGGACCTGGGAATACACTTGGCCAGGGAGGCCCCTTCTCCACTCTCAAATCTCTGGCTTGGGGAACCTTTAGTACGGCCTTTCAGGAAGAGCTGCAATCCTATGAAGCAACTTCCTACTACCACTCTGTTACCTGGAACACTTGGGACATTTGTGCAGCTTCCTGGGTCCGAGTCTTCTTCCCCACGCCCTCAATTCTTTCTTTTCTCTTCCAGGACATTTTTTGCTTCTCACCCCAACCCGTCTCAGAGTCCCAAACGGTAATGGTAATCGCCTGTCCCTCTCCCCACTAGACTGTGAGCCCCACGAGGACAGGGAGCTAGCCAAACTTTTTCTCACCACAGTGTCCCCAGCACCCAGCGTCCAGCCCTCATGTGGCACACGGGTGGTGGCTCTCAATGAGAGGATGAAGGCACGAGAAAAACTCTGTCATCAAGGCTCAGCCCTCCAACAAATCCCTCAGCCTGCAGCCACTTCCTAGAACCACCAGGTGGCGCAAACCACTTACTGCATCTCATCAGCCCCTGGATTTGGAAAGTCCTAGAAAATGGTCATATTAGAGGCAGAGGTTGTGGGGAGAACATGAGCGCCCATTAGAATGCAGGAAGAAATATTAGAACTTTGACTTACATTTATTTTCATCTCATCTTTTTTAAATTTCTATTTTTGTGTATGTTTTATAATGTACATAATATTTTAGTACAGTAGTACATGTATATAATTTACAAATAAATAATTATACAATTAAGGAAGCAAACTAAAAATGTTTTTACTGAGGGGAGGCACAACCAGTGCTCGGGGAAGCACATCTGTCTGCAGCTGCCAGAGCTTGCATCTCTGCTTTCCACTCTCCCGCCCTCTTGGAGCGGAGGGTGGGACACTGACCCTGAACACCAAAGGACCTTTGAGGCAGCATGGAGAAAGTACAGAGAGCTCTTTCATGTTGCCACATAGCGTTTTCAATTTCAGTTAAATGAACATTTACTTCCTCTGAGCAAAACAAAGGGGCCAGATGGTTTAGTTATAAAACACACTTCAGCTGATCCAATTTAAATAATCTGGATTTAAATCACTACCTCTCTCCGCGTACTCAAACGTCTTTCGCATCCAATGTGAGAGGGCTTGTAACTGTTAGGTACTTAGTTGCAAGGCTGGGTTATTTTATTAACTAAATACATGGCCACAGAGGTCCAATTGCTGACCGAACTACAGTGATGTAAACAGTAGAGAGGTCTGCTCAGCACAGCCGCTCTAGCCTGCCATCACCACCACCCACCTGCCAGTCCGAGGACTGCAGGGTGAAAGGGTGCTAACCTACGATCATCACGTGGCAACGTTCTCTAGTCTTCCCAGACATGTTCTTAGCTACGCCTTTCTGGTTCACTAGAAAAATGAAAGAAATAGCAACCTAAAAACAACAACTTGTCATTCCACCCTTTCCCAAGACCAACAATCAGTGGCTTCCACTACCTTCCCCACCACACCACACATCTTTGGGCTTGTTGACAAGTGGCTATTTGCAAGGCAGAGTGTCTTTTATTCCTGTAGTAGTAGATCTGTCCAAAAAGTCACCTCTGGAGCTCAGAGACCTGGCAGCACCAACGCAGGAACCCAGATATAAACAGGGCCATCGTCCCATCCCACTCGCACCCCAGAATGTCCATGGGACAGATGGGGTGGTGCACACGCGCTCTGTTTTTCCCAAAGGCGTCAGCTGTGAGAGCAGTGCGAGTCCCAGGTCAGCCAGCAGAGGGCAGAGCGGGGCGAGGAAGGTCGGCGGCTCCCCCTCGCCCCCACCTGAGCGCCAGCCAGGGCGGCCTCCTCCCTACCAGGCGGAGCTCCGAAACCGGTCTTCCTCTATGTGACTTCGTGCTCTGACGGTGGTCCGCTCCCAGACCGTCTTTACAGGGGTTCCTTATACACGTATTCTCCTTAGATGTGTACGTTTATGTCTGTATAAAAAGGAGGCAGCAGGGGCCTCTGCGGGCGGCAGGAGACGTGCGCACACACGTGCGTGCAGCCCACTCGCCACTGAGCGAGCGCCCGGCCTGGCTTATCGCGACGTGAGGCGGGAGCCCCGCGCCCGGCCGGGGGCGCCGGGAGGAGGGCAGGGAGGCTGGTGCTGGTGGTCCGCAGACCCGCTGCTGCTCAACTCAGGGGAGGAGGCGGAGAACGGGTGGGCGCCACGCTGGGACCTGCAGTCCAGACCTGTCCTTGCAGATGAGGACACGGGGGAGGAGCTTGGTGAGAAAAGGAAGCCCCTTCCAGCTCCTCCGGCGAGCATGCGCACAGCTGCCCTGCACGAGGAGGCTCTGTGGCGGGGAGGCAGGGAGGGAGGGCTGGAGAGAGGGTCCGAGGCGCAGAGATGCCCAGGATACAGGAGGGTCCGCGCCGTGAACGGCATCGCCATCTCCTCGGCCCACGGGCTCTCCCCGCGCCCCTGGCTGCGCGTCCACTGCCCGAGCGTGGTCCGCGTGGGCCCTGGCTGGAACTGTGCTCACTGACCCCTGTGGGGGCATCTGCCTGCCTCCAGGGCCTGCGCAGCCACCCAGCTAAGTGTCATGCCCAGTGGCATCCTTTGTGGCTTTGCTGCCAGTCACAGGCCCGTGGCCCTGGCTGAGGGCAGGGCTCGAGTGTGTCTTCCGGAGAGAGGGGTCGTCCCCTTCCAGGGTGGCCAGCCGGGCCTCAATTCGCTCCAGATCGTCAGAGCCCACTTTGATTTTCACAGCCAGGAGGTGGACATAGGTCTCATAACGGCTTTTCTGGGGAAAGGGCAGAGAAAGGCCAAAAACAAGGTCAAAAGACAAATAACAAAATGGGAAAAGATACTTGTACCTTATATGACAAAAGACCAATTTCCTTAATATGCAAAGAGCTCTCACAAATCAATGAAAGGAGAAAAGTCATCTAATTAAAAAATAAGGGACTTGTACATACATTTCACTCATAATTTTAAAAATCCAAATAATTGGCAATAATTTCTTGGGTATGGCACCAAAAACAGGCAACAAAAGGAAATATAGACAAATGGAACTATATCAAAGTTTAAAACTTCTGTACATCACAGGATACAATCAACAGAACGAAAAGACAACTGATAGAATGTGAAAAAATATTTGCAAATCGTATATCTGATAAAGGCCTGGTATCCAGAATACATAAAGAACTCTTAGAATGCAACAACAAAAAATAAACAACCCAATTTAAAAGTGGGCAAAGGACTTGCATAGACATGTCTCCAAAGAAGACATACGAACAGCCAATAAGTACGTGAAAAGATGCTCAACATCACTAATTATCAGGGAAATCCAAGTCAAAACCACAATGAGATATCACCCATTAGCATGGCTACTAGAAAAAAAAAAAAAAAAACAGAAAATAAGTGCTGGTGAGGATATGGAGAAACTGGAACCCGTGGGCACCGCTGGTGGAAATGTTAAATGCTGCCACTGCTATGGAAAACAGGGATGGTTTCTCAAAAAGTTAAAAATAAACTTCCCATATGACCCAGCAATACCACTTCTGAGAATGCAGCCACATGAATTGAAAGCAGGGTCTGGAAGGAGTATTTGTATACCGTGTGCACAGCAGCATTAGGCACAGTAGCCAAAAGCTGGAAGTAACCCAAGTGTCCATTGCTGGATAAATTGATAAACAAAATGTGGTGTACACATACAATGGAACATTATTCAGCCTTAAAAAGGAAGGAAATTCTGACACATGCTGCTACATGTATGAACCTTGAGGACATTATACTAATGAAATAAGCCAGTCACAAAAAGACAAGTTCTGTGTGACGCCACTTACGTGCAAAGCTAGAGGAGTTAAAATCACAGAGACAGACAGTAGGAGGTCGGCTGCGGGGCTGCGGGGAGGGGAGTCGGGGAGCTGGTGTTTAATGTGTGCAGAGTTTCAGTTTGGGAAGATGAAAAAGTTCTGGAGATTAGGTGCACAGCAGTGTGAACAGACTTAGCACTACTGAACTATACATTTAAAAATGGTTAAGATGGTAAATCTTATGTGTTTTACCATAAATTAAAAATTTTTAGATCAAAATCAAAACAATAATGAAACACCAATTGTCACAACTATCAAATTAGTAAAGATTAAAACATTTGACAACACCGAGTGTTGGTGAGAGCATGGTGAAGGGGGTACGTGCATAAACTATCGAAGGGGTTATAAATTGGTATGAATACTCAGGAGGAAGGTGTGCAGTGTCTGAGGGCTTGGCCTCTGAGCCTCAGGCCCTCGGCGTGGTTGGGGGCGGCTGTGCATCCTGGAAGAAGCAGGGACTAAGAGTCAAGGGACCCTGTTCTCACCCGGCTGTGCCACGTGAGCACGACCCTTCCCTGAGCCACACAGAGCCAGGTGGGAGTGAGAAAGACAGGGCACTGGAGCACAAGCTATCTCCTAGGTTAGGATCTCTCCTCCTGCACTTCTCAACTGTGTCACATCAGACAAGTGCTCTGACCTCTCAGAGCCTCAGTTTCCCCATCTCTGAGATACACAGGAGCACTATCTCACATTTATCTATCTGTAAAGTGGGCATAATAACAGAACCCATTTCATGGAGCTACCATGAGAATCAGGGCCAGGCGCAGTGGCTCACACCTGTAATCCTAGCACTCTGGGAGGCCAAGGTGGGAGGATCCCTTGAGCTCAGGAGTTCGAGACCAATCTGAGCAAGAGTGAGACCCCATTGCTACAAAAAATAGAAAAATTAGCCAGGCATGGTGGCATGTGCCTATAGTCCCAGGTACTCAGGAGGCTGAGGCAGCAGGATTGCTTGAGCCCAGGAGTCTGAGGTTGCTGTGAGCTATAATGACACCACTGCACAATAGCCAGGACAACAGAGTGAGACTCTGTCACCAAAAACAAATAAATAAGAATCCAATCAATCAATATGAGGGCAGTTGCCTGTAGTCCCAGCTATTTAGGAGGCTGAGGCAGGAAGATTGCTTGAGCCCAGGAGTTCAAATCCAGCCTGAGCAATGTAGTGAGTCCCTCATCTCAAACAACAAAACACAAGGGAAACGCAGAGAACCGTGCCTGGTGCCTAGCAAGAGATCAGTCCGCTGTAGCTTTGCCGTTACCATCTTTACATTGTAGAGAGTGGATCTGAGAAGATTTCCAAAAACTATAACGCTTTCTGTTCTACAAAAGGTCAAGATCTATCGTGGGAACTCTCCTGTCTTCCTGCACTACAGTAAGATGTCACTGTGGAAACCTAGAGACTGGGACTGGTGACATCCTGCCCCTCACGCTCTGGTGGCCTTACTGGCTCGGTCTTGGGCTTTCTGTCTGTGCCCCCACCTGCAGGGCAGTCCAAAATAGACCACTGGATCCTGCCTCCCTCCCCTAGCCCTCACCCAGGAAGGTGGTGCTTTTCCAGCCCCACGTGCTACGGGTGGGACCCTGGGCAGGGAGAGACAGGGCGGGGGGAGGGAGAGCTCGCAGACTAGGTGCCCCGCCACCGGTCAGCACGTGTGAGGGGGCTGAGACACAGGGGAAGCCATGTGGACAGGGCCTGGGAGTCTGGAGCTGGTTGTGAAAGCGTCTAGAGGGGCTGGGCCAGAGGGGGAGGCGGTGCGCGGGAGGTGCTGCCACTGGACCACCACCACCCGCCGCCCCGTGCTCTCTGGGCCTCCCGCCAGCTTCGCAGCCCACCCCCAGGGCCCACCTCGAACGTGAGATAGTGCTCCTTCAGCCGGAACTCCTCGGCCTCCTTGGACTTGATGCCCCTCTCGACTGGGTGGCACCTGTGCTCGGCCAGCTCTGCAGTCACCTGCCTCAACTTATTCTCATGGGACCGCAGCTGCTCCTCCTGCAGAGACAAGCCCCGGGCACCGTGAGGCCCTGCTCTCGCCATGCGGTAGGGCTGGGTCTAATCCGGCCACCGGGAGCTGCTCCACCAAAGGGAAACGAAGGCCTGGCCAGCGTCACCAAAACGCAAGGGGGCACAGCACTAGGGGGCGCTCCTCCCCCCTTCCTGCTCCCCCTGCTGCATGGCATCAGCTCTCCTCGGCGTCCCCACCGGGCTCAGGAGATGCAAGACCCTCACACTTGTCTGTGCACGTGGACACTCCTGACACAGACACGCAACGGCCCACTCACACCCCTGGCTCGTGTGAACTCCCGCACGCACACGCACACGCGCACACACACGTTCCCTCACGTTCATGGCCAGACCCAGAACCACACCCAGACAGGCCAAGACACTGTCACTGATGGACAAGCGCATACATCCCACCCACCCTCTGTGCTGTGTGCGTGTGTGAAGGCACCACGTGTGTGCGTGTACAAAGCGTGTGTGTATTGTGTGCACACCCACAGTGGCTCTGGGCAGAAGTGGAAGCCACGAGGGCCCAGTGGGCAAAGGGCCGGCAGGTGACGAAGACGGGGAGTTTGCAGTGTCCCGTGCCCTTGACCTCTCAAGTTCAGGCCCACCATGTATCTTTTCCTCTCCAAACCCCCCCAAAAAACCTGGAGTATTGATGACTTGGACTTTTTTAGGATTACAAATAAAACATTTAAGCAGCAGATGAACAGTCAGTCACGTGCCATTTGTCCCCAGCTCCCGATGACACACATTCTCTGGCATCCGTGCCCAGATGCACACGACACCACAGACGCAGGGTCACGTCCGCGGGGACACACTCACTGCCTTGGCAGAGGAGCAGCCCAGGCCGAGCGCCAGAGCCTGCCAGACTGCGGAGTGGCAGGCGCTGTGTGCGGCCTCGGTCCTCCCACCTGTGCGTGGGGCAGGGGAATGGCTGTCCCCGCCCAGGACCGGGTGCCCTAGCAACTGGGCTGGGGTGGCTGTGGAATGGGGCCTGGGGGGCAGCCTGGGGAGGTGGCAGCATGGTCCAGGCAGGCCCGTACCTGGCAGAGTCGGGTGGTGCAGGAGGGCAGCAGGGGCCGGCAGAACTTCTTCATGGAGCTGACCGCAGCCGGGAAGGCCGGGGCCGAGAAGATGGCCGCCACCAGGTTGATCCTAAGGATCCAGGACAGCATTTCTTCCTTGCTCCTGGGGACAGGAGGGAAAGGGAGAGAGTGCTGGCTCCTCACAAGAGGGCTCCCTGTCCCCCCACCCAGCACCCAGCACCCCGCCTTGGGCCTGGCCCAGAGAAGGCAGGGACGCCTTTAGGTAGGTGGGCAAAGGAGGGAGGGGAGGGCGAGTGGCAGGGTGGGTGGGCCTGGCCAGAGCCGCGCGGGGAGTGTCCCTTCCTGGCTCCCAGGCGACCTGGGTTTTCATGTGAAAATAAAACTGCCCAGGGCCAGGGCCAGGGGCCTCAGTGGCCAGGGGCCAGGCAGCACCAGGGGCAGTGGCAGCCGGCGGTGTCCCCACAGCCCACCTGCCCGCCCTCGGCCTGCCCAGCACAGGCCACCAAGGCTCACCTGCTGGCCTCCCTCCCCGAGCTCACCTGACACAGGAAAGCCCAGTCTCCAGTCACAGAAGGGGCGGGCAGTGGGAGGAAGGCCGTACAGGTCAACCGCGGGCGCGCCTTTCCCACCCATCCCCCACGCTTAAAGCCAAGGGTGATTCCTGAAGGCGCATCTGCCCGGCCCCGGGACTCGCACGCCTCGGCATCCTCTGCAGGGCTCCTGTCACAGCTGCTGGGCCCGTCCCCAGACTTCCTGATTCAGTGGGCCTAAGGCGGGGCCAGAGACATCGCACTGCTGCCCAGTTCCCTGGTGACGCTGAGGGGACCACACTGTGCGCACTACTGCTGGGGGCCCCAGCTGTTGTTCTGTGTCAAGTGCACATGCTGGCCCTGAGGGCTGTGCATGGGACGTCGGGGAGCACTGCCGCCCGGGCCACTCACGGTGCCTGGAAGAGGAAGACCCTCCAGTCGGCCGTCTTCAGCTTGAGCACGTTGGATTTCTTGCTGTAGTCGGAGGCCCGGGTGGCCAGGGCATGGTGCACGCGAATGGCGTTCTTCAAGTCGCCCTCTGACAGAGCTTTGTCCGGCCTGTACTCATCCTGGACAGGGGCGGGGTGAGCCTCCGTGACGGCTCTGGCACACTGACCCCCTCTCTCCGCCCCCCACCGCTCCTCCCTCCACAGCCCTCCTCCCTCCCCAGTTCCCACTGCCAGGATGCCTCGACCACCCCAAGAAGAATCACTCTGGGCAACCCTCCCCTGTACCCCGGGTTGTCCCAGAGGCCTAAACTGGCCTTACACCTGGGTAGCCCCTGAGCCACGGGCATTTCAGAGACCCCTCCCTAAACCTCTGAAGCCCTGAGTGAGCCCGAGTCAGGAAGGCTGGAGCCCGAGCCCCGGTCCCGCCCAGGACCCTCTGGGTACCACAAGGCAGGGGCTGGGTGGGACCGAGCCGCCCACTCTGGGTAAGGCCTCTGGGCCTCTCACCTTCTGCAGGTACAGGATGGTCCCTTTGAGCACCGCGTAGAATTTCTTCCAGCCACGCCTCCCACGGGGCGCTAGGGAGGGTGGCACGGGTAGTGTGGCCGCAACCACACACCCGATATCTCCTACCCCGCCTCCCCCCACCCGTGCATCCCCAAAGGAGTGGCCATGGGACAGGCCCCTCTGTGCCAGCATCCCTCCCCACACCCCTCCCCGCCTGACACCCACTCCTCTTGCCATCCATGTCGGCGTGAGTCTTCCGGGTCAGCACGCCATGCTTGTAGGTGGTGGCACTGAGAGCCTGCGGGACATCCAGGAAGGGGTTGCCACCATCCAGGATACGTGTCACCTTCTTCATGCCTGTCCCAAACTTGTCATCCACCAGCTCAGACAGGGATTTCCTCAGCTCATCCTCATCACTAGGAAGGTACTAGATCTCAGCGCCACCTCCAGAGAGGCCTCGGACCCCCATGGGCATGGCCTTTCCCCACCAACCACCCCCCTGGGGGCCAGGAGCAGCTGCAGGAGGGAGAGATGAGGAGGTTTCGATCCCAGATCCAGATCTCTGACCCCTCCCCTCGGTTCAGTTCTGACCCCTGACTTCTAATCTGTGATTTTTGGCCTCCACGTGCCAGTGGAGAGTTAGCTCTAGGTCCTGTTCCCAGTGTTCCTCCTCCTCTCTCCAACCCTGACAGCCCAGCCCCGGAGCACTAGCCTGTGGCCAGACTGAAGCTGCTGGACAAACCCCTCCAACATGCTGGCAAGGGCAGGCCAGTAGGCGGGACCCCTAAAGATCGGGCCCCCCATGGGAGCCCTGGCAGAGAGAGCCAGCTCTTCCCAGGGGGTTGGGTTCCTGCCACTGCCTGCCTGGGACCTCTGCGTGGACCTGAAGGCACAGGCTGCCCTGAGAGCACAGCAGACAGGGGCTCCCCCAAGAGCCTCTCACAATCTCCCCAACCAGCAAGGTCACCACCCCTCTCTCCAGACATCTGGGCACCTCCAGGTCTCACTGCCTCTGCAGGGGAAGAAGTTAGGACCCATACGCACTGCTGAAAGCAGTCGCCAGCTAAAGACAGTCATATTCCTGAGGTTATAGGGGACCTGTGCCTCCTGCCTGCCTACCTCCCAAAGGGGAAAGAGCTGTTATCACTGGGAACTGTGGCAGTATCCTCAGTACAGAAAACCAGTTGTGGACATCATGAAACTACAATCGCACTTCATCTATTCCATAGCACTGTGAACACTGCACACTTTTTTATCAAACCCAAAGGGGAACTCAGCACTGCATGCTGGTCCGCTGGACAAGGTTGTCAGGGCATTGGGCTGGGAGAGATCAGCACCATGGAGAGTGGTCAGAGTAGCCAACCTGCGCCCCTGCCCAGTGATGCAGGCTCCCCATGCCTGTGCCCGTGGGCACTACTCACATGGCCCATTCCAGCTTTTCATTCTTGATGGAGTTGTAAAGGGTCTGGGAGAGGAGGAAAGGGGAAAGAGAGAGAGGGTAGTTTAGGTGAAGAGTCAAAAAAACCCATCGACCTCCAGCAATGTGGGTACAGTGAGGGAGCCCCTGTTCAGCCAATGGGGCAAAGTGGGTGTTGGATTCAGACCTGTTTGTTGGATGGATAAGTGAGTGGGTGGGTGGATGCAAGGATGGGTGGTACCTGTTTATGTGATCATTTAATGTCTGTCTTCCTGGAGAGACTGTAAGCTTCATAAGGTTGGGAGTTGTCTATCTGTTCATCACTGAATCTCAAATGCGTAATCCAAAACTCAGCATACAGTAAGTGCTCAACAGGATGGATGGATGGATGGATGGATGGATGGGGAAGTGGATGAGGAGGGATAGATTCATGAGTGGAAAAATAGGCAGGTGGATGGGTGAATGAATAGGGGATGGATGGGTAGATAGCAAATGGATGAGGGAGTTTTGCATGGGTGGGGGGTATATGGGTGAGGGTATGGGTGAATGGATGAATGGGAGGGTGACTGGGTAGATGATTGGGTCAGTGATTATGTGGACAGATTTGAGGATGAGTGGGTGGATGGGTTGGTGGATAGGTGGGTAGATGGGTCGGTGGATAGGTGGGTAGATGGGTCGGTGGATAGGTGGGTAGATGGGTTGGTGGATAGGTAGGTGGATGGGTGGGGAAATGGATGGGTAGGGGGATGGGTGAGTGGATAGGGGGGTGTGGGGAGTGTTTGGGGTGAATGGGCAGGCATGTGTATAGGTGAATGACTGAGTGGCTGTGTGGGAGGGTGAATGGCTGAATGGAGAAGTGGGTAGATGAGTGGCTAAGTAGATAGGGAGAAGTGGATAGGTGAGTAGAATTGTTTGATCTCACATACAAATATGTTCTTAACAAGTGCTTCCTGATGGTGAAGAAGAAGATAATTATGGTAGGAAGAGTGACGGAGACAATGTTCTATTTTTTTACCTCCAAATTCACTATTCAACTACCCCCCTGGTATCACCAGGCTCTTCAAACCCACCGTCTGAAAATGAACTCATCACCTACCCACCCCACCGCCCCAAAAAACCCTGCTCCTCTTCCTCCTAAGTGGAGAACTGACCCAGCTGGGAAGACCACAGTTCCACCCTGGGCTTCAACCTCAAAAGAAAACTGGATCCCCTCAATTCCTAGCGATGCTGGAGAACTGGGTAGCCTTTCCTTGTAGTGATGGTAATGATGGTGTGGTGACGGTGAGGGCTGTGGTGGTGGTGGGTGGAGCTGTGACAGTTGGTGGCAATGTCGGTCATACTGTGACAACAGCAATGACAATGGAGCACTAAAACCAAACCTCACGAAGCACATCCCTCTGTCTAACTTGGGGAACACAGAACAGTCAAGTGTTGAGCTAGATGGTCTCCACCTTGGTCCCAAAGGCATGGTGGCCCTGCTCCCAGTATTAAAATCCTGGAATGCCAGGGTTTAGTGGGACAGAGACTCTCTCCTCCACACCCACCCAGGGCACAGCCAGGGGCATGGGGACCCTTAGCAGGTAATACCTTCAGCAGGTCTTTGGCAAAGTCTTGGCCGTCATTCAACTGGTCCAAGTTGGCAATGAATTGCTGGCAGGACATCTTCTTGCCGATGTTCTGTAAGGGAGAGACGGCGCTGCCTGAGCCGGCGCGGGGAGAAGGCCGGCGCGGCCCGCACCCTGCCCTGCCCTGCCCTGCCCTGCCCGCCAGAAGGGATGAGGCAGCATCAAGAACTGCAAAGAAAATAGAGTCGCTTGAATTTCCCTTTGTCTCCGAGAGTTTGCAAAGCTCTTTTGCACATCCAAGATTCTGTCTGATTCTCAAGCACCCTGAGAGGTCAGGGCTGTCCTCAAACCCAGGGCAAGGATCAGGGCTGGGCGAAGTATTGGAGTAGTTGACGTTTGCCAGGTGCCTACTGTGTTCCAGGTGCTGCACTTTCCATTCGTTATCTTATTTCTTCCTCGCCACACGGAGAAGGTGTTGTTATTATCCCCATTTGACAGATGAGGAAACTGAGGTGCAGGATGATGAAGTGACGTGTCCAGGACCACACAGCGAGGAAGTGGCCTTAAGGGCCAGTGTGTCTGGCGCCAGGCCCCATGCTCTCACCCGCTGCTCCACGGTTCACTCTCCCCAGGCCTCCCGGCACAGGACTTGAACCCGGGCCTCGTGGCGTCTATGTGTTCCGCCACGACCGCCTCCCCCTCACCTGCACAGGGGGCAGCGAGACTTCCAAGAAGTAGGCGGGGTGAGGGAGAATTTGGTCTTATGAGAGTCAAAAATCACTTTCCACCAACACCCATGGGTACCCCATGCTGAGCTGGGCTGGGACACCCCGAGCAGTCGTTTCACCCCTGGAGTCACAAACAGGCTGGAAATGGCTGTGTGCCCACATTGTGCCTTCCTTTTCCAATCACTGAGTAGCAGGGGGCTCAAACCCTCCAAACCAACAGCTGACAGTCACACCTCCAGACTGTCCTTGGAGTGCACCCGTGTGAGGACACCCGGGTGGCACTTCACCTCTGTGAGGATGGAGACCCTCGAACACCAGACACTCGCCGCGCTAGGGTATTGCCGATCAGGTTTGCTAGAAGGCAGTAACCCTGGTATCCCATGAGACGGAAATACGTATTTTCTCAAAGAATGATTTCATAATCAAAGAAGTGTATTTACATGTTTCAGTCTTTCACATGCTTGTGTGTGTTGCTGGTGCCCAAAGAGAGGATTCCATGTACAGTTCCCCAAATTTGTTGACCTTGGCACCATTTTAGCAAAGACGACCTATTAACATGATGAGGGACATTCACACACCACAGAAATAATTCAGAAAACAATGATATAAGTGAGGCTTTATAAGCAAGAATTTTCAATGCCGTTTCCAAAGAGAAAAGGTCCTATGTGTGCCTTGATATAAACGCATTCTGTATGTGCATCGTTTTGCACGTACATCTGTGCGTGCATGTATAAGTACATTGCTGAACATCCCCCAGCCACCAGTTAGGAGGGCAAAATCAAAAAATCACCAGGCAAGATTTCTAATCTTAGCAATATCCGGCTACCCTGTCATGGGTGAACCTTCCCAGAAGAAACAACTGCCGGTCAAAATATTCATAAAGCACCTGTGTGATGTTTCCTCACTGGAGGAAGTGCAAAAGCAGTGAAGACCCTGCAAGGGAGGGAAGTGTGGAAAGGTGACCGGCGAGGGGCACCTTCCCCCCGGGAAGCCCTTGCTGATTCACAGCAGTGGCCAAAAGGATGCGCAACCGAGCTGTCTCGTAGGACAGGAGGACAAAAATTGGAGTTCAGGGCCCACCAAGGACAAGAGGTCCTGGGAAACACCCAGTTACACTTCAACAAAAAAGCTGAAATTAAGAAAGGAACAGAGAAAGGGAAAATGGTCCCAGATGGAAGAAGCATGGAGAAGCAGAAAGGGATGAAAAGCACAGAAAGAACAGGTAACTCCAAATGAATATTGATTATGTGGAGCAACAATAAAGTTTTCTGGGGAATAAAACACATAGAGATATACTGGAAGGCCGTGGCAGGCAGATTGCTTGAGGTCAGGAGTTCGAAACCAGCCTGAGCAAGAGCGAGAGCCCGTCTCTACTATAAATAGAAAGAAACTAATTGACCAACTAAAAATATATATACAAAAAATTAGCCGGGCATGGTGGCACATGCCTGTAGTCCCAGCTACTCGGGAGGCTGAGGCAGGAGGATCGCTTGAGCCCAGGAGATTGAGGTTGCTGTGAGCTAGGTTGACGCCACGGCACCCACTCTAGCCTGGGCAACAAAGTGAGACCCTGTCTCAAAACAAAACAAAACAAAACACATAGAGATATAATAATCAAAAACACTATAACAGTAGCACATAAGTTAAGAGAGCAGTAAATGGAATTAAGGTGTTTTGAAGGATTTCATTGCCCAGGAAGTGGGACTAATACTTTAAAAAGTCAGGGATGCATGCTCCAAACCACAAAAGAATTCTGAAAGAATGCACAACTAACGAGCTCACAGAGGGAGGAAATGGAATTCTAAAAAATACTTAATCCAAAAGTAGGCAGAAAAGGAGAAGAAAGGAACATAGAACAGATGAGTCAAAGAAAAAACAAATAATAACCTGGTATACTTCAACTCAAATACAGCATATTTCATTAAATGTTCAAATTAAAAGACAACTATGAGACTTGATTTTTTTTAAGTAGATGTTACAAAAGATATACCTTAAATTTAAAGGCACAGAAATCTTGGAAGCAAAAAGACAGAAAAGGATATACCACGTAAACACTAACAAAAAAACTCCAGCATTAGCATAGCTACAGTAATAACTGACAAAATAGATTTAAAGGCAAGAAGCATTATTAGAACTAAAGAGGAATATTTTCATAATGATAAAAGGATAGATTCACCAGAAAATATATTCATCCTAAACCTGTATACACCTAGTAGTATAACTTCAAAATATACAAAATAAAAAACCAACAGAACCAAAGAAGACATATTCACAGTGTTGATTAGAGATTTTAACACTCTGTCTTAGTAACAGGAAGAACAAGCAGACAAAATACCAGCCAGAATACTGTGCCAAAAATTGGATAACCTAGATGAAATTGACAAATTCTTAGAAACACACCAACTACCAAAACTGGCTCAAGAAGAAACAGAAAGTCTGACTAGACCTATAACAAGTAAAGAGTTTGAATCAATAATCAAAAGCCTCATGACAAAGAAAAACCAAGGACCAGATAGCTTCACTGGTGAATTTTTCTGAGCATTTAAAGAAAAATTAACACCAATATTTTTCAAACTCTTCCCAAAAATTGAAGGGAAGGGAACACTTCCTAACTCATTCTACAAGGGCAACATTTTCCTGATACCAACATCAGACAAAGAAAACTACAGGTCAATATTGCTTATGAGTACAGATACCCAAATCCTCAATAAAACACTAGCAAACTGAATCCAGCAGCATATTAAAGGGATTATACACCATGGCCAAGTGGAATATATCTTATGTGTATTTTACAACAATAAAATAGATCAATAGGGATATACAAGATTTTTACAACACGTTTGGGCACCTTATTTGCACATATAGAACATTATGGCCAACACTGCAGAATACACTTTCTTTTCAAGTCCACTTGAAACATTTACTAAAATTGATCTCTCTCTAGGCCAAAAAGCAAGACTCAACAAATGGCAGAGAAGTGAGATCATACTGGGTAACTTAGCTGCTTTAAAAAATAATGATGATGATGATGATGATGATGATGATGATGACAGCCAGGCAAAAAGACATGTACCAAGATTATTTCAAATTCCAAGGGAGGTATGGGATTTGGGAGCTCCAAGTCTCCAGTTCTTCCCTCTCTCCCACCCCCATTTGGATCATGGGAGCCTCCCAGCCTGCCTGGGGACCTCAGGCCTCTCCCCTCAGCCTCTGCCTCCCAGCAGAAACACGGCACAGCCGGTCTGACGACGGCCCCCTCTCAGGCCAGGGTGACCCTCTCCCTAAGCCCATGTCCTTGCCCAAAGCAGAGGCTGGATGGGGCTGGGTACTGCTCAGGCCACCATCCAGGTAGTGAAACTTCGTCACTGCCTTTGACCCCACAGAAGCCAGGCCTTTTCCCACGGTCTGGCCTGACCTCTCTGTAGGCCTGGGGTCAGAGCAGCGCTGACCTGTCTTTAAGGCTCACCCAGAAGCAGGATGAGGCAGGTCAGGCAGAAAGAAAGCAGGTGTCATCCCTCAGGGGGTGGGAGGGGCTGGGCAAACGTCCTGTAGGTAGGGAAACCCTTGGCACTATTGCAAATCAAGGCTTAACCTTAACTACACTTCATGCATTCCCTGAAGGTCCTTGCGTGAGAGCGGGCAGATCTCCCAGGGTCACACCAAAAATTCTGGTCTGTCCCCCATCCTCCACCACTCACCCCAAACCGCCTGGCCAGCCACCCCTGCGGCTGCTCTTCAAGCAGCCCAAGGTTGCAAGGAAATTAAGCCTTTCCTAGAAAGCAACTCACCTTGGCCTCCCCTGGAATGACCTCTCCTGGCTGCCCCTCTCCTCTCTGTCTGCTTCATCTTGATGGTTCCCTCCTTTGCCCAACGTCCAGTCTACAAACGTGCTGCAGACGGAGGCCAAAACGCCTCTGGAATTTCTCCCCTTGACTCCGTCTCCAGTTCTAACCCAAGCTGCCGTCTTCTCCTGGCTGACAGTTGCCATTCCCTGCCATCCTCCCCTTCCAGCGCATCCCGGGCTCACCCGCCGACCACCGTCACCAGCATCCGCACCAGCCCTAACCCCCGTCTGGAGTACACACCGGCCCGCCAGGCGGCCAGCAGGGCCGGCCCGCGGCCCCTCCTCCAGGGGCCGTCTAAACTCTAACGCGAACAATGAACACCGTTGTTGTTCTCCTGTAACATATTACTCATGACAAAACCCTTCCCAGGCGCCAGACCCAGACACTCGGCTTTGTGTGGGTTACCTCTCTCAGTCCTGAGCGTGACACTGCGGGGAAAACCATTATCCTCCCTCACAGACACAGAACCTGAGACTCAGAGAGGGCCAGTGACTTGCCCAGGGTCACACAGCTACCACGTAGAGGCAAGAGCAGGACCTGAAATGCCCCTGGGGCGGAAGGTCACTCCCCGCTCTTTCTGCACCTCACGTCCCCTGGGCTCTCCTGGTTAACTCCGGCACCAGACACGCTGGCCTACTGTCCCCATGGGTCACTGAAATATCCCCGAAGTGGGGGATCGGGCCACGCTGGGTGAGCAATGACAGGGAAGTGATTGAGTGGGGCCAGATGGTGTGATGGGGACACCGAAGGTGACGTGGTGACCGGTGGTCGAGGCGCAGGGCATGCACACCGCTAGCTACACTTACCACCTGCAGGAGGGCAGGAGAGCCCAGAGCGGGGTCCCGGAGCAGACAGAGGAAAGAAGAAGGGGTTACTGAGCCGCGAGAAGCACCAAGACAGCCCAGGGCCAGGACCACCCCCGCCTCGCAGCCCCAGGCACTCACGCCAGTCACTTCCCTTCTGGCCGGTGGGACGCGGGGCTGCCCGGGGCATGGTGTCCCAGCACCCTGCACCCAGGGGGCAGCAGGGAAGGGCCCATGATCTTTTAGACACAAATCCACGTGTAGCACGGCCTGAACTAGGGGTGCGCATCTCGTTCCGCTCATCTGCACTCCTGTGTGCCTCAACTGTTCTCACGGCCCTGCCTAGGGGCGGGGACTCAGGCAGGTCTCACGGGGAGGAAACCAGGGCAGGGCCAAATCCGGAAGCCAAGCTGCCCGGCTCCCAGGCCTGGCACCTGAAGCCCTGCCCCTGATGGAGAGGTGTCAGGGAGAGGGCTGGACCGGGGCGCCGAGGCCCACCCGGGGGCTGAGCGAGAGGACGCCCTCCCCCGCCTCCCCCACTCACGTGTCCGTGCAGGTCTGTGTTGAGCAGCATCAGGGCGCAGGTGAGCGTGTGGATGCCATCTAAATCAGAGACAGGGGCGAGCTCAGCATGAGGACCCCTCTCTTCCCGCCCTCAGCCCCCATCCGTCTCCAGCTAGAGCCAGCCTGGAGGCCTCGGGGACAGGAAGAGGCTGGCCACCTGCCAAACACACCTCAGGGCCCAGGGCCTGCGTGATGCTGCCTGCCCACCCCCACTGCAGCACCAGAGCCACTGCCTGTCCCAGCCAGGGCCACCCCTCCCTCAGAGGGAACCTGGCCACCCTGGGCCTGCTCCAGCCCGGACCTCTGCCTCCTGTGGCCAAGCTCACCTTGAACCTCAGACCCAGGAGTGGCTCTGGGTCCCAGGCCACGTCCCTGCATTGGCCTATGTCTCCCCAATAATGGGCCAAGACCCCCAGTTCCTGGGACTCAGAGCTCTCTTGCTCTGCAGGCAGACCTCATCCCATGTGCTGTAGCTTATTCAATTAACATTTATTGGGCACTTACTATATATACCAGAGAGGACAAACCTTCTGGGCCTGGTGGCAGGACAGAAGTGCCAGGTGGACCAGGGCTGGGAGGAAGCCAGGGTTTGGCTGGGAGGGGCCGGGAGGGTGGGGCGCAGGGGGGCAGGTGGCCATACCTTCCGAGGTGCTGTCATCAGGGTTGCATTGGCAGTACCGGCGGGAGAAGTGGGTAAGGACCCGCTCACGCTCTTGCGTCTCCCCCATCAGTGGGAAAGCCTTCAGGAATGTTCTAGAAGGCAATTCAAGGCTGCTGAGGGCGGTCTGGGTCCTCACCCAGGTTAGGAGCCCCCTCCCTGCCACACACACAAACACACACAGACACACCTGCCCCAGGGGGCCAGGCCAGCCTCTGGGTCTGGACGCCCTCTCCAGGCCTGGGGAGACCCCCAGCCCCAGGATGGCCCCTGGAGTAGTTTAGAGTTTTAAAGTCTCATCGCCCTCCAGGGGACAGATTGTGAAGCGCAAACTCAGCTGAGCACCTCAAGGCCAGCGCCAGCTCCTCTTTAGGGTAGATGCCCACCCCTTAGCCCCTCCTATGGCTGGGCCGGCTGTGCACAGCTGCCCCTCAGAGGGCTCTGCCCCCACTCGTCCCCCCCCCACATGCTGCCCGCTGAGCCCCAGCCCCCCACCCCACCCCTGAGCTGCCCCCACGTCCCAGTGGTTTGTCCTTCACCCTCCATCTCAACTCCTCCTCCTCCTCCACTCTCATCATATGCCCAGGACACCTGCAACAGCCCCAGTGGTCCAGGCCTGCCCCTCCCCACATGGTCTCTCTAAACGCCACGACGCCAAGACTCGCCACTGCTTAAAACCCATCACTGGCTGCCCAGAACCCTCAGAACAGCACCCCGGCTCCTCGTGTCACAGCCATGCTCACTGCCCTCCCGTCCCTCCCGTCCCTCCAACCTCGCAGCCACCAGCTGCCTCCCCATGCTGTCCTCACGGCCTGGACAGGACAGGCCCCCGGGACACCCTTCCCTTCTGCTGGGAAGCTCTGGAAGGAATTAGAATTCCCCTCGAGGCCCAATTTAAAGGTCACCTGCCTTTCAGGGGCCTTTGGCAACTGATCCCAAAACCAGAGGGTCTGGGAGATGTGGCCAGGGTCCCTCTCCCAGGGCCTGGGCTCAGCCCTTCCCTTGGGAAGGGAAATTGCAAGCTGAGCCGCTTCGTGCTTCCCTCCATCCCGAGCTCATGAGATGGTTGGTTCCTAATGTTGCTGAGGTTCATTTGGTGCAATGCCCACTTTGCTTTCTTCTCTCTCATGCTGTCCCCTAAGGCACCTGGGACCCGCAAGCCACATCTTGGCACCCCTTACCCTCCAAGGCTTCCCAAGGCATCCAAACCTGCAGACCATGTTCTCCCAACTCAATCCCAAGCAACCAGCTGCTATACAAAAGCACTCTCCTACCTGACATCTAGTTGTCCTCCTCTCCCTGTCCCTCCTACTCCCTGTCCTCTTCCCCTGCCTGTCCCCCAGCCCAGCCCCGCCCTCTTCTCCTCACACTCCACCAGGACCTTTCCAAATCCATCCCCCAGCCCAGCCTCTCGGGCCTCCTTGCGAGCCACCCAGCCCAGCTCCACTCCCCAAACGCCCCCTGCCCAAGCCCCAACCCTGTACCGCCACCACCAAACCCTCAGCTGTCCCTGGGTCAGCCTCACCACGCCCACCCTCTCCCCGCATCTCTGCACGACAGCCTTCTACTCCACCCCTGTGCAGCCTCTCACACTGACCTTTCCCCTCTGGCCCCTCTGCCAACCTCCCGACTGACCCCCTGCAGTGGCCTGCACGCCTGGGCCCAAAGGCCGCCAGCACCCTGGGGCCAGCACTGCCTCCCATGACACTGCTGCACACGAGCACCCCCACGCGGTCCCCGGTGCCGGCGCAGTCGAGCCTCACTGGGCACCCACGCCTCTGACCATGACCTGACCCACCGAACACCTTCCCTGGCTGATCTTTCTCATTCTGGACAGATCTCCACCACTCAGCCCAGGACAAAGTGGCTTGCGGCACCCCGCTGAGAACAGCGAGTTTTCTCAAGCGATCAGAAAAGTGCTGACAAGGACCGGGAAGGGCCGAGACTCTGGAGGGGAGAGAACCGACTTTCTGCCTGTTCCCTGAGGGCACTGCTGGTGACCGGCAGAGGCCAGAGGCCAGACGCCTAGTGGCCTCCCAGGGCTGAAGAGACAAACCTGGAGACTTGAGGGGCTGTAAACACGTGGCCAGTTTTCCCTTTGAGATATTTGCCAGATTTCAGAGCTGGGTGAAAAGCCCAGCACCCTTCCCACTGCCTTGCAAAGAACAATGTAGAGCCACTACAATTCTACACAAAGTACACAGCATATAATAAAAAAAAATGACTAAGCATGAGAAGGGACAGGATATAGGATGGAAAATTAAGAGAAAACAAGGCGATAGAAACAGTTACGGGTGACTTGGACGATGCAGATATTGACGTTAGCAGCAAGGACTTTACAACTAACATTTCCAAGAAAAGAGTGGGGAACATGGATAACATGAGTGAAAGATGGGGAATTCTCCAGGGAATTTGAATCCATTAAAAAAATGTTAATAAAATGGAAATTCTAGACCTTATAGAAAAATATAATTACAGAAAGTTATTATAAAACTCAGTAAATGAGATTCATGGCATACGAGACACAGAAAAGGGGTAAGGGAACTGATTTCAGGTCAATAGAAAATATCCCGGCCAGGCGCGGTGGCTCACACCTATAATCCCAGCACTGTGGGAGGCCGAGGTGGGCGGATCACTCAAGGTCAGAAGTTCAAAACCAGCCTGAGCAAGAGCAAGACCCCATCTCTACTAAAAATAGAGAGAAATTAATTGGCCAACTGAAAATATATAGAAAAAATTAGCCGGGCATGGTGGCTCATGCATGTAGTCCCAGCTACTCGGGAGGCTGAGGCAGAAGGATCTCCTGAGCCCAGGAGAGTTTGAGGCTGCTGTGAGCTAGGCTAACGCCACAGCACTCTAGCCTGGGCAACAGAGTGAGACTCTGTCTCACACACACAAAAAAGAAAATATCCCAACTAAAGTAAAGAGAATGGAAATGACATTTTTTAAAAACTTGAGACACACAGGACACGGTAAAAAGGTCTGACATGCATGGACCAGCCCACCCCTTAGCTGAGGGACGGCAGTCTGTCTCTGCCAGGGCCCAGCCTGGTGTCCCCCCCCCACTGGCCCTGCCGCCAGAGCTGCTGGGCCTGGGCTGCATCCCCCCATCTGGCCCTCCCGCCCCGGCCCTGCTCCCGGGCCTCCTGCCGTGTGCTCCTGGGTGCAAACACCAGCGGCCCCAGAGCAGATCCCAGCGTACCGCCTCCTCCCCAGTGACTGTGGGGAGTCTCCACCCTCCGGCCCCCCAGTGTCTTCATTTGAAAACTAGGAATGACGGGGCCTCCCGCAGGGCGCCGTGTGGCTGGAGCAAGCCGGGGACCCACAGCATCCGGCCGGCATGGAGTGCCCAATACCGGCAAGTCCTTTGCCTCCTCTCCTCTCCCAGAGAGTCGCAACCACATTTCCACCTTCAAATCCTCGGCACCTACCACGCAGGTGGCACTCGCTCAGTGGCTGGACTGCTCTTAAGGCCCCTTCCCACGGCCTCACCAGAAGGGCCAAGAGACTTGCCCAAGGTTGCACAGCAAGTTTACGGCACAGCTGGCGTGGGAATGCAGATGTGCAGCCTACAGCCCCGCGGGCACTGTCCCGTCCCAGCCCCACTGACCTGAGCGCTCGGTCCAGAGTCAGGCCCGAGAAGTCGAAGAAACTGAGGTACTCCCCGGCCACCAGCCTGCTGAACTCATTGCTGCCAGGAGAGCATGGGGTGTCGGTTAGAGGCAGGGCCGGGTCCAAGGATGACAGAGAATAAGGAGACGTTGGGAGTGGGCCCCAGGGTGCCCTGACCTGCCCACCCAGACCTGCCGAACCCCTAGCCTTTCCTCCCTTTGTGGGACAGTCAGGACCTGATAATTCAGCCTTGGGCCGGGGGATCAGGAAAGCTTCCTGGAGGAGGTGAGGTCTCAGCCAACACAGGAAAGTAACAGCCAGCCAGGTGAAGGGAGTAGGGGGATGGGATGACGCCGTGTCCCCACATGGAAACTGCGCAACATGTCCAAGAGGCCACCAACAGGGCCACGTGGCCAGAGCCTAGACGGCAGGGAACAGCACCTGCGGGCCACGGGTCAGGACCTGGTTCTGGGTTTGAGGCAGGGATGGCCGGATCTGTCGTTTGGAACACTCCACCGGCTGCGTGCAGAGCCACCGGGAGGCCGCAGCAGTTGTCCAGAGAGGTGCAAGGGGTGGGGGGAGGGAGATTTAGGAGGCAGGATCCACAGGACACGGAGATGGGACGGGTGTGGGGCAGGGCCCAGAAGGTGGCCTCCCAGGGGGCGATCTCAGAGCTACAACTGAGATGTCAGAGGACAGCGGGTGTGGCTGAGTGCGTCCCTGTGACAGTCGTCAGTCTGCAGCCAGCGACTGGGGGCGGGAGAGGAAGGCTGTCCAAGAGGAGGAGGCACGGACAGGCCGGCCCAGGGCCCCTTCCAGGGTGTGACAGAGGAAGGACAGCCAGCGAAGGAGGCTGAGAAACAGCACCAGAGAGGGGGGCGTGTTGTCCCCCAGGCCGTGGAAGAAAGTGTTTCAAGAAGACTGGCATGAGGAACTCTTGTTGAAATCAGAACAAATTCCCACCTGATTCTCATTAAGCCTCAAGCTCTCCCTCCCACGTGCCGGACCCCTGGGAAATGGAGAACCACGTTAAATAACACCAAGAGGACACCACACCCAAAATGTGGAACATTCCTTGGGACAAACAGCTCAGTGTCCTCAGCAAATACCTGGCATTTTAGAAAGGGCAGGGGACTGTTGGACTGTTACTGATTAAAAGAGAATTAAGAGACGTAGCCGTCAAATGCAACGTGTGGGCCTTGCTGGAGCTTGATTTGAACCAGCCAACATTTGTGAGACAATCAGAGAAAATTAAACACAAAACGAATGTTGAAGATACTAAGGAGTTTGTGTTAATTTTGTTAGGCGTTATAATGGAATTATGATGATGTAGAAAATTCCTTATCAGTTAGAGATACACACTAAAGTATTTATGGGTCGAATGACAGGATGTCTGAAATATGCATTAAAACATTCCAGCAGACGGGAAAGAAAGCTGTGGGTAACGGATGAAAGGAGAATGCAGAGATGGTGACCTTGAAGCTTGGCGAGGGCTATGCGGAGGTTTAATGTGTTACTTTCTCTGTTTTTGTGTATGTTTGAAATTTTTATAATAAAAAGTTTAATTAAAGAAAAAGAAAGGAGTGGCTGGTCCTGTTGATCCGCCGAAGGGGGCAGAGTGAGGTCGGGCTGGGTAGCAGCCACCAGCAGCAGATTCGGAGACACAGGCCGCCCGTGACCTTGGCCAAGGGGTTTCTGCAGGGGTGGGTGGGTCAGGCGAGCCAGTCTGGAGGGGCTGAGGGTGGAGAAGGGGAGGGTAGAGGCCATCCAGGGCAGAAAACCCGAACATTCCAGCATTCGGTTGGGAAACGGGATGAGGAAGGATGTTCAGTGTTCAGTCTCACCTGGGCACAACTAACTGCTGGTGGGAAAACGCCCGCAGAGGGCGTGGTTGAAAAGACGGGGAGGGAAGGATAAACCATAAGGAAGGCTCCCGAAAGGATGCCATTAGGTTCGGGGTGCTAGAGGGTGGGGGTGATTGAGCTGTGACTTCTAGTGGGGGCAGGGCACGGAGGCGGCAGGAGGGAGAACAGGAGGGCCCTGCGAGGCCTGGCGCCCCACCCCCATCAGCGCCACCTCCCATCCAGGGTCCTCACTGTCTCCCTGAGCCTGGGCGGCGTGGAGCCAGGCCAGCCTCTGCGCACCCCACACCTCGGCGTGGGCTGGGGGACCCAGGACAGAGGGGCCAAAGGCAGGCGGACACGCTGGGGGTCAGTCTGACGCAGTCCCACAGTCCACGCCTGTCCCCTGGCCCCCTTCAGGACCGCTCATCCGGCTCTTTGGCACCAGTCTGCAGGCCAGGCTCCTGCTGTGGGGACTTCAGCCCCTTCAGCTAGTCCCAGGGGACAGCAGGGCTTAACAAGGGCCAGGAACCCCTACCTGGGCTCTCAGCCACAGTGGTGTCCCCCTGGCCCAGGTTCTCCTCTCGCCCCGGCCCCATTAGGTGGGCCTCGCTCCCGCCCGGCTGCTTTGTCCTCGCTGCCAGCCATCGTGACCCATAACCGCATCCCACATCCTGCGCCGCCAGCCCCGAGGGCCCGCCCCGAGCGCCAGTCCTCGCCCAGGCAGCCCAGAAAGGAAACAGATTTAGGGCGAGGCCGGGAATGAGGACAAGGGTGGGAGGAGGTGTCCTTGGGGAACTTGGGCACCCCCAGCACCAGGCACCCTTGCAAGGAGTCACCCACACCCCGTTCAGGCCGAGGAGGACACGGGTGCCGGGGTGGAGGGCGCGGGACATCGCACTCACTTCTTGCCCAGCTGCCGGGCCACGTCGCAGCGCTGGAAGCCCTCCAGGTGGTAGAGGCGCCGTGCCAGCCGGCGGGCAGCTTCGCTGACCCCCTGGCACCCGTTGGCCAGCGGGTCTGTGCCACCGGGCTCCAGCCCCTCCGAGCTGCTCAGCTCCGAGTCCGAGTCCGACAGGCCGTCCTTCAGGCTGGGGTCGCTGCAGACGGAGGGGGTGGAGAGGAGGGGAGGCCCAGGGTCAGAGGCCCTGCGGACAGACTGGGGGCCTGGGCCTCTGAAAACCCACGCAGGGACCAGAGCTCCACTGCAGCAGGAGGGAATCAAGTCAGACTTTCAGAAGAGCCTCTCGAGTGAAATCCCAGCACAGGGCCCTGACCCTGTCTGAGCTGAGACCTGGGAGAGCAGTGGGTTTCCCTAACTGGCTCTGCCTCCTCGGGGCCTCAGTTTCCCGCCTGCACGGTGGTTCTCCCAGCTCCCAGCCCGGGGCCCTGCCTCACCTGGCCGAGTTCAGCAACTTGTCCGTATCCTCCTCCTCGTCATCCTCGTCCCCACCTGGGCTCCGGGGTCCGTCTGCGTGGAAGCCATTGGGCATGGCCGTGAGAGACAGGCGGCTCAGGACGTTCTCTGAGCGGCTGCTGGAGATGGAGCGCCGCAGGGGGCTGCCCAGCTCCCCGTCGCCACCCGCTGCCCCCATGCCCCCCTCGGGGCCCATGTCCCCAATGCCCAGCCCGGCCCCGGGCTCAGGGCTGTCGCGGGCCCGCTGCTGGATGAGCGGCGTGAGGGGGGCCTCGAAGCTGACGCAGCTGTCGCTCTCGTCCGTGAGGCTCAGCACGTCCAGCGAGTCGAGGCTGCTGTACTGGGTGCCCCGCAGCAGCTCTGACTCCAGAATCTTCTCAAACGTGGCACTGAAGCCGTCGCGCACATCTGGCTCCCCGGGACCGCCCAGCCTGCGGGGTGCAAGGAGCCGGTCACCACCCGGCCAGGGCGTCTCCCGTACAGGGGCCGGGGACTGCGCCGGTCTGGGTCTGGGAGCTCGCTGGGGGCAGAGAACAGGTGAGAACTGTGTCCTGTTTGTTTATTCCTTCAGCCAACACATACGGGGCGCCACGTGCCAGATGCTGGGCTGGGGATACACAGTGAAAAGAGCAGACGTGGTCCCTGTCACCCGGGCCCGGCCCACAGCAGGCATCGGATATCTGTCCAATTGAACGAGCCCTCTAGGCTCCCAGAGCCGTGTGGCCATCTCCCTATCACAGCTAGTGTCACACTGGGTCACAACTTCACTGTTCCTGCAACCTGCAGGTTCTTGGCTCTCAAGTCCTGCCTGAATGTCCCCTCCTCAGAGAGGCCGGGGAGGCAGGCCCACACCGTGCTGGCCTCCTCCCCAGCCCTCCAGCACGTACCACTCTGTTCGAATAAATATTGTTTACCGTGCGTTCTCCAGCCCCAGAGCAAAGCCTGTGCAAGGCCAGGGAGCACCCAGCACACGGTGGGTGCTCAGGAAATCTTGCCGAGCGATGCGCGGGGTGATGACCACCTGCTTGCCAGCCACGTCCACCCACGCTTCCCAGACCTCGCAGGATCCACGGGGGCCTTGGCACCGGCTGTTCCCTCTGCTCAGAGTGCTCTTCCCTGAGCTAAGACCCCCTTCTTTCCACATCCCTGTCTCAGAGGTCTGCCCTGCCCCCCTACCTCTAACTGACCTGTCCCCCAGGACCCCAGCCCCTTTTTCCTACTTTATTTTTTCCAAAGCACTTGTCCCTTCCAGCATACTGCATAATCATTTATTATTTTATTATTGTCTGTCTCCCCACTGGAGCCTGTGAGAGCAGGGATTTCTGCAGGGTTTGGTCATCTGTGCAGCCCCGGCACCTGGAATGGAGAGGGGGGGGCAAGAAAGAGACAGGGAAAACAGAGAGCTGCGCAGAAACAGAGAGTATGGGAGATAAGGAGAGAGCCAGAGAGACAAAGACAGAGACAGAAGCAGAGAGAACGCAGCAGGCTGAGCCGGCCCATTTCAGATAAATCAAGGCCTGCCATTTGCAAGGAAGTGCACCCCTCCCTCCACTTCAGCCTCCCCCAGGCTCTGGCTACACCCTGCTTGGCCCCAGCACCGGCTGCCTAGGGGAGGACTAGACAGTGCCCCTTCCCCTCAAAACTCGACCCTAACATTCGAGCCTGCGTGCTCCCTAGAGAAGCCACCTCCTTCCCAGCCCCGGCAGGAGCGACTGCAGCCTCCTTGGGCGCTCTCCTACCAAGGACCACAGTGGGGAGGAGGGCAGACTCCTAAAAGGTGGCAGGAGGCCTGGCAGGGGCTAGGGTGGAAGTCGCCTCAGCTGACCTCCAAGAGGAGAGAGGGAAGAGAAGGATCACCTGGCCACCAGGGCAAATACCCAAAGTCTGCCCAGCAAAGGCCTCTGCCTGTGCTGGGTATAGAGACATCCGCACAAGACAGCCTTGCCCTTGGGGGGCTTCCAGCCCATTGTCAGAGCCATGAATGGAACCCCCATCTCTTACCCCCTCACGCAATTGAGCGGATCTGAGGGTAGCCCTGGCAGGGGCTTGATGACAATCATCCCAATCTCCAAAGCTCTGTCTGTGCCCACCCTCGGCCACCCTAAAGAGGATGTAAACATGCCACCTAAAGAGGAACGGTGTGCTCTAAGAAGCCCCAGCCCCTGCCGCCACCCTACTGCCAGCCAGGGTGCACCCTAGCCCCTGCACGGGTGGAAACTCTCTGTGGCCATGGCACGCCCAGTGCAACAGGGACCAACCCCAGGTACTCACATTCCCAGCCACATGGGCCTAGAGACATTTAGCCCTACACAGCACGTACACGCCCAGAGGTGCACCCACAGATGCCCAGGCCGGGCACACACCAACACCCCCACCCACAACAGTACAGCCACACATGCTAACATGCCCACACATGTGCACACGCCAAGGTGTAGGCCAGCCACACACGTGCATGCCCCCCACGCACACTACACGCTCCCCCCGCATTTGGCTGTTCAAGCCAGGGCCTGTGGCTGTGTACACCAAGACTTCTAAATGCTTCCTTTTCTCAGCCCCCCCTGGAACCTTCTAGACATCTCAATGCCCCATCTCCACCCTCCTTGTCCAATTGGCCCCCCAAGACTCCAGGTCTCTCCCGAGCCTGCTGAGGAATATAGAAATGGGGTTGGAACTCTAGCAAGTAGGACTGAAGGGAGATTCCTGGTGGCACTTCCTGGTGGCAACCTCGGATGAGAGTGCCTGAGAGGGGTTAACCTGCACAGCCTGCTTTCCTGGAGTCAGCGGCAGGACTGGAGACTGTCATCTCCAGGAGGCGGAGGAATGGACCAGATGACCTTTCACATCAAGGCCTTTCAAAAGGACTCTCACGCCCAGCCCCAGGGGAGGGACGCAGCGCACAGAAGCAGCCCGTGGCGGTTTGGGGAGCTGAGGGCTGGGAGGCACGGCATGCCCACTAGCCTTGAAGTCCTTCTCACTGCTCTGGCCTCCCCAAACACCCTGAAGCTGGGCAAGATAGGGACAGGAAATCCCCGCTTCATGTTTGAGAAAAATGAGACCCAGAGACACTCAGTGGCCAGGCCCAGGCCACATGGCAACAGAGCGGCGGTGAGCTCCACCCCACTTACCCCAGCTGAGGATCCTCGGGGTCTGAACAGAGGCTCCTGGGGGCATCGTCCCCCTCTGCCAGCCCACCAGTCCTCCAGGGCCTGGGATCTGTTGAATCTTCCAGAATGCTCGAGTCTGGCCCCAGGACGAGGCCATTGGTGAGAGAGAGGTCAAGGCTGAGGCCACGGAGGGCCACATCTGGGTCCTTTGTGGGCTCTTCAGTGCCCACCAGCATGCCCCTTTGCTCGTGCCCTGGGCTGCTGAAGCTGCTGCCCAGGCCCTCGCCAGAGGCTGGTCCACTCTGGACCCCGGGCTCCTCCTCAGGTTCCAGGCTGGGGTCCCAGGCAGCACCACCTTCCTCGGGCAGTGCAGAGGGGAGCTGATCCTCGTCCATGGCAGCCACTGGGTCCACCCCTTCCTGGCTGCTCCTGGGACTCCACTGGACCTGGCAGCAGAGGGAGAGATGGAGGGCTTGGTCAGCCAGGGCAGGGGCTGGGGGTCTTAAGCCCGGCAGAGCCGGCCCTAGAACAGCAGGATGGCCGAGATGATCTCTGCAAACACTTCGGCTGGAGTCTGGGTTCCAGCCCCCTCACGGCCCTGCCAGGCCAGCCCCCAGCCTCCCCTGACCCCTGCCAGCCCCTATGCCCAGTCCCTGCCTTCCCTGTTACCTCTTGCGTCTGTTGTGCCCTCCAGAATGCACCAAAGCCCTCTGGAGAAGATCCAGGCAAGGAGGAACTGGGGAAGGGTCCAGCGCCCCCTGCAGGCCCCTCCATTCCCACTGGTGAGCGACAGAGACAGCCCCAGGCTGCCAGCAGCCAGCCTGCTGGCCTCGTCCCACGTCCTCTCACCCTGGCTCGGGGAGCCAGAGTTGAGTGAATCTTTGTGCTTAATGGAGGGAACTGGGCTTGGGACTGCCTTTAAGGGGGAGTTAAGAGAGGAGGCAAAGAAGACAACAGAAGAGCGGCTTTATCAGAGCAGGGGCCACCCCAGAGAAGCCAAAGCGAAGCTGGTAGACAGCTGTCGGGAGGCCCAGCGCGTGGCGCTGTCCAGGGTGCTGGGCGGGTGCGGCGCCACCCTGGAGCCTCCCAGCAAGTCCAGGCTGCCTCAGTCACACCCAGTGCCAGGCGCCCTGGCTGTGCCAGGTGGAAGGACTAGGGGACCTGGGGTTCCCCTCCACTCCCAGACCCCCACTAGAGCTCGTTCAGTCTCAGGACGGACTCATGAGGGGGCCACCAAGGGCACTCTGGGCAGAGCACTGGAAGGGGAGTCAGCCCTGCTCCGCCTAGCCTATTGTGGGACCACATGTGGGTCCAGGCCAGCCCCACTCCCCTCTGGATCTGTTTCTCTCCTGTAAAATGAGGAGACCCACTTTATCCATCATCTCCCCCCACCCCACCCCTGTTTAAAATGGATCAGGACCAGCCCCCGTTTCCCAGAGGCTTCCTGCCCAACCTGATCCCAGATGGGCTGTGTCCCGGATCTCCCCTCCTCCCCTCTCTGCCCCTGGCCCCACCTAGTCTAAGCTATCCCCCTCCCACTGTGACTTCTGCCAGCAGGGACACAGACCAGCCCCTCCAGACGCCCTGAGGAGCTACAGAGAATCAGGAAGCCAGGGCATTTCTCCCAGTTCTGTCTGGGCCACTTCTTTCCTCCCTTCTTTGAGCCTTGGCTGCCTCCAGACCCCCACTCTCCCCTGGAGGAACAATGCTGGGGAAAATAAAGCCTGAGCAGCCTTCTGGGCCACAGCAGGACGAGCTGCAGGTGCAGCAACAGGCATTTAAGTGAGACCCAAACTTCCTACACCTGCCAGGTCATCAGTATCCCCGGAGGGACTTGTCAAAATGCAGATCACCAGGCCGACACCAGACCTGCAGAATCTACAGAGAAGGGCTATGGTAATCCGTTATTCTTATAATGGGACAAGCGTGGGAAACCCTGAGCTAGACTCCAGGAGAAACTTCCACTTGTAGAAGACAATCCTGGAGAGGAAGGTGGGTCTACTTCTCCGGGAATTCTGGGCCCTCGAGGGGAGGTTGGCCACCACAAGCCAGCTAAGGTTCGTGTAACCTGGGTTTTCAAGCATGGAGTGCAAGAGCAAAGGGCAGGACAGAGACCTGGGCCCTGCTCACCCACCCAGATCAACACCTCCCAGAACTTTCACTGCTGCATGACAGTAAGATTTTACTTAACATGAAAAAAGCCCACAGATTTTTTAAAAATCTGAAGAGCCAGGCTCTAGAGTATCTGGGCCCCGATCCTAGGACACCGGGGACCCCTAGGGGTTCGGCACTGAGTGAGGGATTCTTTCTGGACTGCCCTAAATCCCCGCCACTGCTGTTGCTATTTCAATCTGTTCCCTCCGGTTGTGCACTCAGAAGAGGGAGAACAAGAGGTCACCTCCTCAACTGAGACTCCTGGGGAGGGACATTTAGGAAGGAAGGGGGGGCTTTTGGCCCTCTGCCTGAGTTCCAGTGCTCTGACCTGCTTTCTAGCCCAGGGCCTGCGTGAGCGCTGGGGCCCAGGCGTTCAGCTGGACTCCACCAGGACGCCTCGGGCTCCCCCAGCTGTGCCTAGAGGCTGAGCCTGGCAGGGTGGGGACCCCCTTGGTCAGAACTCTGCCTCAACCCCCACTGAAGCCTGAGATTTGAGATGGCTTCACTTGGTGCGAAGTGGCTTCATTTGATGCTCCATCTACACCCGCCTGAAAGCCAGGATTGTGTATAAACCAAAGACCCCTTGGGAGACCCCTCCACCACTGCCCCAACTCCCAGCAGCTGCCTCCGGCTGGCTCCAGCCCTACCTGCCCAGCCATGTCCCCTACAGCTGGGAGTGGGCTGGCGGCTCTGCCAACACTGGGCACTGGGCCGTGCCCTTGCTTTCTGGGGGTAGGCAGACAAAGGGCAGCATTGAGCTCTACCCTGGGTGGGGGGCCCAGAGTCCCCACCCGGGCTGAGGGCCAGCTGAGCCCAGAAATAGCTGAGCCAGGACCCCTGCTCTTGCTGAGTCCAAGGGAGGGTGCACAGAGGAGATGCTTTAGGGCAGAAGTAGAAAACAAGGCCCCAAGTCCTCATTTTAGGTCCTTAACCTACGTGCCCTGGGACTCATCATTGCAAAGATCTCTGGCCTTTGTGAACCCATCTGTAGAATGGGAGCATCACCTCTGTTCTCCGCCCTCCCCCAGGGCTGGTGGGACACTTAAGGTCATGGATGCTCACAGAGCTGAGATCTATGCAAGGGCAAACTCACTACAGAGGTCAAGGATGAAAGGCAGCTAATGCTCTACTTTTTCCATGACTATATTTGACCAATGGGGAGACTGAGGCACAGAACCTGGCAAGGCTTTGCCTGAGCCTCTCTCGGCCTGATCTGGGCCCCTTTGCAGGCAGGGGCTCCCCCCACCCATGGCCCCTGGGATGACCCTGGGCTCAGCTGCCTCTTTTTTGGCACTAGCTGAGACGGGGACCACGATGATAGCGAACCCCTGGCTGGGCCGGAACTGACTGCCAAGCCAAGCACTTTCTGGGTCTCAGCTGCTCCTGAGACAACCCTGTCCCCTCCCCACTCTCCGTGTGGCAGCTGGAGTGAGCTGTGAAAACACAAATTACATGACCCCCCTCACTCACTCATAACCCCGTAAGGATTCCCACTGCCCTTAGATTAGAATCCCGGCTCCCCACATGGCCTGAAAAGGCCCCGCCTGCAAACCGTTCTGCCGCCCTCTCCCCGCCCTCCCCCTTCAGCCACACTGGCCTTCTTTCTGCTCCCTGAGCTCATTCCCACCTCAGGGCCTTTGCACCAGCTGTACACTTGTCCTAGAATGCTCTTTCCCTAGATCTTTAAAAGATTGCCTCTGCTGCCATCGGGGCTCAACTCCAGGGCTGGCTCCTCAGAGAGGCCCTCTCTGGCCACCACACGCTCCACACCCCCCACAGCACCCCGGCACCTAGCAGAACCGGAACTCTCCTTCCTGTTGTGTACTTACCTCCTGCATCTCCCCCCCGCCACAGGGTGGAAGTTCAGTGCAGGTGGGGACTATGTCATGTTCATGGCTGTCTCCCCAGAGCCCAGTGCAATGCCTGGCACGCAATGGGTACTTTAAATGTCTGTTGACTAAATGACCTATTATCATCATCCCCATTTTTGGCAGGCGTTAAGAGAGGTCGAGGAACATGCTCAGAGTCACAAAGCTGGAAAGCCAAGCTGTCACAGGGATAATCTTACGGTCCCTTCCATGCTGGAATCCAAGCCAGGGACTGTAGGAAGCTCAAGAACAGGGCTGGAGGTGGGGACCCAGCAGGGAAGGCTCCAGGGACCACATGCTCTACGAGACACAGGGGTGACTGCATGGGTGCTGGCACCTGTGAGCAAGCGCAGGATGCAGCCATTTGTGGTGCGCGCACACACACACACACTCGACACATGCACACTCAGACACATGCACAAAGACACATGCACACACACAAACACTCAAGACATGCGCACATGCACATGTGCACACTCAGACACATGCACATACATACACACAGGCACACACACGCATGCACAGACACATGCACGCGCACAGACACAGGCACACACACGCACACACACTCAGACACATGCACGTACATACACACAGGCACACACACGCATGCACAGACACATGCACGCGCACAGACACAGGCACACACACGCATGCACACAGGCACACACACGCATGCACAGACACATGCACGCGCACAGACACAGGCACACACACGCATGCACACTCAGACACATGCATGCACACAGACACAGGCACACACGCACACACACTCAGACACATGTACGCACACAGGGAACAGGGCAGCCACTCTGAGGCTGTCCCTCTGAGTGGGGAGGTGGAGATGAGCTGCAGGCCTAGGGGCAAGGTTAAGGGCAGCTAGACCTACATCACTGGGCATCCAGGGCCAAAATCATTCTGCTTTGGGAGAAGCCAGGGACAGGGATGGGACAACCCAGAGCTTCAAGCTGGGGCAGAGGGTGGGGAAGACAGGCACCTACACTGGCCACAGCCACACACAGTGTCAGCAGGGGCCTGGGTGGGTGTGGGAGAGAATGGGGAACACAGATCTCCTTGAGGGAAGTGGGGCACAGGAGGCAGAGTGGGGACGGGTCACAGTGCTGAGCACCACCCATAACCGGCAAAGTCTAATAAGCCTTGGGATGTCCAGGGTTGCCTAGAACCCAGGCAGGGTATGTAGAAGGACTGGGACCAGAGAAAATTGCTCTGGAATGTCAGTGTGGCAGCCAGGCTGAGACCACAGCTATCCCAGGGAGCGGGCTAGGATCCAGGACCCTCAGGGTTTGCCTCCAGTGGGCTAGGGCAGCTTGGGCACATGAAACCCCTCCCGGTTCCATGTCCCCACATGCACCGGAGATTCCTAACCCGTTCCTAGTCTTGGACCTCTGTGCATCTGATGGAGCTGTGCACCCGCCCCACAGATTCTCACACACATGCTTATCTGGAGGATATTTGGGGAGGCTCACAGGCCCCTAGAGCCCATCCATGGGCCCTGGGCATAAGCCCTAACCTGCATAATCCCCAAGGACCTTCCACCTCTGACACTGGACACTTGGAGAGAGCACCACAAGGGCTCCTCGGCAAAGAAAGATAGAAACCTTTCATCGTGCGACCTATTCTCTGTCCCCTGAGAGCCGACCCTGAACACCTCATGGGTCCACAGCCCCTCCCCCAAATTCCTCCTGCACTACCTGGCTCCCTAGCTCACCAGATTTTAGCACATGGGCTGGGATCTTCACACACACACACACACACATGCATGCACACACACAGGCACTCAAACAAGATGACTGATGCAAAGGCTGGCATGCAGGAAGTGCTCAGAATAGACCCTCACCAGCTGTGCCCCACACCACTGGGGCCCTAGGCTGGCCCGGGACACTCCAGGGCTCCACGGGACCCTGCCACTGGCAGCATACGCAGCAGGGAGTTGCCGGGAAGACCCCTCAATTGGGTCCCAGGTCACACAGCTCTCCATGCTGCCCTACAGCCTCTGCAAGCCAAGGCACCTGGAGGTCAGGATCTTCCGGTCGTCCCCAAGCTCCAGGCCACCTCTCTAGGCCCAGGTCAGCCTCCTCAACATCCCAACTGCCCAGGACAATGTGGAAGGGATGTCCACCCAGGAGTCTCAGGAACTTCCCCAATTCCACACCCCAAAGTGGCCCTAAACCCTCCTCACCCACATGGTCTTCCCAGCTTGGACTCCGTGCAGCAGCAAGTGCCTCAGACTGGGACAGTCCAGGACGGTGGGTCAGTGCCCTACCTTTGCAGTCAGAAAGACCTGGCTTTGAATCCC